TTGTTTTCAGCAAGGTTTTCAGTTAACTGCTGATTAGGCAGATGCTGTAGGTACGCTACACTAACATTTTTTGGTGCACGATAAGCAGGCCGATTAGTAACCACAGGTCTACTTGTTAATCCAGACCTCTTGAACATAGCACGGGAAGCAACCACTCTATTGCCCTGGACTTGGGTATTACTGGTACAGTTCCGGAGAAGTCCCCCAGAAATCAGATGTGGCTGGAATCTATTTGATGCTACAGCGATACTAGATCGCTGACTCCTAATAATATTAGGGAGGCCAAATGTTGAGGGCACCCCACAGGCAGATGTCGGATTCACAAGTGAATTAGTTCCTGACGGAATTTGTTGCAATTGAGGAAGCTGGTTCAAAGAACCAAAACCAGGCTTGGTAATTGGAATGGGAGGTGAAGGGTTCTTCAATTGCCTGAATTTTTTCCTTGCAAGCTTCCAGAATTCTTCCTTATCAGTAGCATGACAATGATCACTACTTGAAGCTCCAGAGCCCCAAAGGGAACATGGAGCAAGTGAGTCGCAAACATAGCAATGGCACTGCATTCCATCAAGGCGAAATCACGCTCCGCAAAATTACAATGAAGAGCAAACAAATGTAAAAGAAAACCAAAGCATAAGGGTAATCTAACCATTTCGCAGCGGCTTTCATGTGAAGAAGAACTGAAAGGAAATTTGGCACAGAGATGTCGTGGATGAGGATAATCTCTGCATGCAACCTGCAAAAGAGTGCAAGCATGAGAATTCTATTCATTGGGAATGAGAACGGAAGACGTTTATGCTTCATGGAGAACACCACAAAAAGATTGTCATTCATTAAGATCCTTCCCTACAACCACACTTTTGTATCTATTCACTACAATATATTTCATGGCCCAGCTTCAATAAAAGCAATGTTTGTGAATGATCCCTTAAAAGTGTACAACACCAATGCACATACTACGGAGAATAATAGTTGCCAAACATCATAAGCATTGGGAGCTGCGAGTGTAAAAGCAATAACAATACTGCCAATTAAACCCCACAAAAGACAATGCTTTACATATAATCAGATGGAACTGCGCAAGGCATACCAATGCACTATTATGTGGTACCCAAACGCAACAACTCTCCGAAAAGAACTGCATGAGCCTGAAAACTGGATCTGCAAGAGCCAGCACACTATAAAGCATTGGTAGTCTGGCAAAAATTTACGACTAGCAACTGGACTGAGAAATTCTGTCAGCAATATAAGCAGAAAAAACAATCAAAGGGAGGGAGGGATGGAGCGGCAGGCTATCTCCAAAAAAGCACAATATTTACCAAATGAACTATAAAATATATATATATATATATATATATATATATATATATATATATATATATATATTGAGCGAGAATAACCCCATAGAATTCATGATTGTTTAGAGATTGATAATTCTCACTCGAAAGGACCAACCAAATTCTCAAAAATGACAACAAAATAACAGCAAAGGCTAGTGATGGTAACTAGTCTATGAAAATTCTTCATCTACAGTCAGCCAAAAGCTGAGGAAGATATAGGCCACTATGCATATGCAAACAGCATAACATGGTCATACTTACATAACACCCAAATACAGCACATAAAGACCATATGACATTTATCAATTGAGAAATAGCTACGAAAACAAATTCCCAAGAATTCAGTTTCATAACACCCTGTACCTAACATTACAATAACATCAGCAACTTGACCAAATAATTCATAAGACCACTAAAATCACGTAGGGAAAACAATTTATCAACATAAGATAAGCAAGCTGATTACACTTCACAAACACTGTCAGAACAGTTATAAAATAATCTTTCCAAAATCTAAAAAAATCACACCAAAAATACCTTAGCTTATAAAAAAGGATACAACTAATAGAAACCACCAAAAAAACACAATTCCCTCAAATTACACTATAAACCTATCTCTAATAAAAGAATTTAGACTAAGTGAAGGACACCAAATTTCAACCAGAGTAATTCTTGTCAGTAATTAAAGCCAATAATATCAACATGAGAGAGAGGCAGGCTGAATCCAGAAAATGCACACCATTAGCAATATCAACGCTGAAATATATACCAGTTAACAGACCAACAAATTCCATCAACTAAACCTCCAAAAAAAAAAAAATGTATTGCTCATTCATTATATTCACAAGTCCAGTGCCAAAAGAATGCATAATTCTAGCTCAAACCCAACGAATTCTAAAGAAAACGCCAATAAATTGAAAGTGGAAGCTAGTGTCAAAGACCTCTACGTTTAATCCACGAAAAATCGTCAAAATATAAGGAACAAAAGGGCATGATATAAACCCCAACTATGCCTATGCAAGTAATGCAGCAATCATGACATCTTCAAACAATCATAAGATTCATAACAGCATCAATATAAAGCACACTCGGATAGCAAATGGGTAACATAACATGACACTTGAAACTCAGTCAAGTAGCACCCACTACCAAAAGTTCGACCAGCTAATTTGCCTGAATGTTCATAACATTCGAAATCAACAACCGAGATACATAATAAAATGTCAGATAAACAAACTGATCATAACCTACAACACCATATTAATTAGTCATCAAATTCCTTTTACAAATTCCAAAAGGCTGAATTCCCATCAAAAAATATAATTCCCTTGCATAATCCCATGAAACTACCTCTAATTCAATAATTCAACGCCAACATCAAAATTCAACCAACAAAAAGGTTAAAAAATCATAAAATTCATATACCTGACCCGTTTCGCCAACGATAAGCAAATCATCCGAATCTTCTTCGGACTCCTTAACCTCGTCTTTCGGTTTATCGGGATCACCTTCCAACACCACACAATCATCATCATCATCATCATCAATTCTAGGCATCAAAGTTTTAGCCTTTTTAGGCTTCTGTACTATAACTTCACCCACCACAACAACATCATCATCGTCATCAACAACAACCTTATCACCACCACCGCCTCCGCCGCCGCCGCTGTCGATGCCGTCACCTAAGTTGAAGATACCACCAATAGAAACAGGATCATCATCTTCAAGAAGCTTCGTAATCCAATCAAAATTGTCGGCGGTGGATGAATTGTCAAACCCCACTTCTTCATCAGAACTCAATTCAAGAATTAGGTTTCGGTCCATTGAAAATTTAATCGAAAGAGGGAGAATTTGGGGGAGAAATTTCGTGGGATTTTGTGGGATTTATGAGAATTGAAAAACCCATGAAGAAATTAGGTGAAGGAGAAAGAGAGAGTGAGAACTGAGAATTAAGGGGTTCAATTGTGAAGAAACCCTAGAAAACTGAAAGTGTACCAAAAATGGCATTTGGAAGGAGAGAGAACTCACGAGGTTCTTTTCAGTGTTGACTCCGTACAATCCGGTGAAATCGAACGCATGAATGGAAAAAAATGACGAAAAATTGACAAGAAAAAGGTTAGCGTGATCAGCACGTGATCTAAAGTATTTTTTGGGCTAAGTTTATATAAATGTTTATTTGATTGATTGGGCTTGTTAATTACAAGTATCATTTTGTGTTGTATCATTATATGCATAGCTTCATGGACGAGTTAAGCTAAAATACGGTCCCTGAACTATACCATTAGTTGCACATTTGGTCCCTCATCTATGAAAGAAGGCAAATTGGTCCCTCTTCCACCCTTGGCTAACCATTTCTAGTGGAGCAACATCTGAGTCAGCAAAGTTTAGGGATGTTTGTTGCCAACTAAGCCAAAGTTCAGGGACTTCTGTGGTTGACTCAGCATTAGTTTAGGGATTGCACTTCATTTTTACCAAAAGATTAGGGACCTGCATGCTTACATGGACATTTTAAGTTGAAAAAAAAAGGTAGTTTGAAGTTTAGGGGCTCTGAATTTAATCTGAAGGATTGTAACAGCAAAAAAAAAAAAAAATTCCAAAATACTTAAAAAACTAGTCGTAACACACAAAAGTGGCTATATATATTGCTGTTGGTAGTCATTAAAATCATCAAAAAAAATTAAGCAAAAATCCTTCCAACAAAAAAAAAAAAAAAAAAAAAAAAAAAAAAAAAAAACTGTTGCAGTGAAGAAGGAAGCTCCTGTCAAGGTATCTGCAATAAAATTAGTAATTAAGGTAATTAGGAGTTGTTCAAAATTAGAAGATTTAAGCAATATTAATATGTTTGTTGATGACAAGAAATGTCTAGACGTAGCAGTGGATCAAGTGGAAGTGGTCAAAGGTGTCATTGTGGGATAACAGTTTCAAAAACAAGGTCATGGACCAAAGATAACCCACGCAGAAGGTTTATAGCCTATCCTGATTATGATGCTGAAAGTAATAGAAGGAGATGCAAGTATTTCAAGTGGGTAGATGTGGAAGATCAAACTGATTGGCAAAAAGAAATAATATTAGGACTAATGGAAGATAAAAGAAGGTTGACTGTTGATGTTGAGGAACACAAGAAGAGGATGAATGAGGCAACTAAGTATGCAAGGAAGATGCAATCAGATTACATGATGTTAAAACTGAAAAGAGACAAGGGTTCAGGTGGCTATAAGTATGAATTTTGGGGTGTAGTTGTTGTAATAGCAGTAGTTTGGTGTTGGTATTTGTTTAAGAAAGTAGGCAAGTGATGTAATCATATGTAGTAAAAGTAAAACAAGCAATTAGGTAATGAAATGATAATTAATTAAATAAAGTTGTGGATTAACCTTAGGTTTTCTTCTTTGTTAGCTCCTGTTGCTTTTCCTTTGCTAATCCTTGCAATGCTTGACTTGAGATTGTCTGTTGTGGTTGAGATGCATACTCTGACTGTGACTGTGACATGGGATATTCTTAGGAGAAAGCATATATGGTTTGTTCACCTTCATTATCGGAATAAAATGCTGCTTGTCTTTGTCTTTGTTGATTGCTTGGTTGTATTCACATATTTATAAATAGAGTTAAAATTGTAGATTTAAAAAAGATGATGTAATGGGCATAAATAAATAGAGTAGTTGGTACTTACAGTAGCAATTCTTCGGTATCCATTGAGTAGGTGTAAATTCCCACTCCTCTGTTGTGCATGGGGACTGTGCTGGGAGTTAACCTAGGTTGTGTCTTGTTCTGATGATGAGCAATTCCACCAGCATTTGATTCCCTGGGGGTATTCTTGCAGGTTGTTTTATTGTGCCCTTGCACTCCACACAAACTACAATTCATTGCAACCCCTGTTTTCCTCAGTTTCCCTTTTTCAGTCACTTCCCCAACACTTGGATTTCTCTTTGTCTTAGGTCTGTGATTGACCTTTTTCAATGGAGGGGGAATGATTGTGTTCTGTGAAGTAGGCCACTCCTGTGGACCATTTAGGGGTTCAAGAAAAAAACTGTACGCATTTGCATAAGTTGATTTTCTGAAATATTCACTCGTATACTCTTCAGGTTCATCAACCTTCTTCCAAATGGCAACTATGGCATGTTTACAGGGAATGCCACTCACTTGCCAAGCATTGCAAGTGCAAGTTCTTTGTGCCAAGTTCACCACATACTTGCATTGAGTTGACCCATCCCTGACTCCATAGCTAAATCCCCCATCCCAAAAGGCATTCCAACCTCTAGCCCACACCTTATGCTTTTCTAACTGCTGCTTAATTATAGGGCAAAGTGGCTAACCATCATCCTTGAGCATGTCTCTCTTAGTGTGTAACCTCTCCATGAGACCTTCTCTTATGTCTTCTAACGTGGTTATGATTGGCTTGTGTCTCACCTTGAGTATATAAGCATTGAAGACCTCACTCATATTATTATCCACACTATCACATGAAGACAATAGGTGTGTAGAAAGCCCTACACCACTTCTTGTAGTTCCTGTTTAACAAATCAGTAGCTGCATCCTCAGATAGCTTTCTCATAGCATCAATTTGTTCAAGAAAACCATTTTCATTTGTGCTCTTTGCTATGAACCAAAATTGTTTCCTTAACTCTAAGCCACCCCCAAACACACTCCTAAAATTGCAATAGACATGTCTTGCACATACCCTTGTTTCTGCTTATGGAAACACCTCTGCAACAGCTGCAAGTAACCCTTTTTGTTGATCTGACATGAAGGTGTACCAAGCACCTTCATCAGTCCCTAGGTCAGCAGCCAAAAGATATAAGAACCAGCTCCAAGTTTCAGTCTTTTCAACTTCGACAATAGCCCAGGCAATAGGGAACATTTGATTATTCCCATCCCTACCAACTGCCACTAACAACTGCCCACCATAAGGTCCCTTAAGAAAACAGCCATCTAGGGAAATGAAAGGCTTGCACCCAGCTACAAAGCCTTTCCTTAATGCCTCAAAGCATATGTAAATCCTGTCAAAGACATTCCCATTCAATTTCAGCTTCACAGTGTTGGCCCTATTGCTCTTAAGTATCTCCTCTGCATACCTGGGAAGTAATTCATATTGTTCCTTATACTTCCCAATAATAATGGATTGGCCCCTCTTTCTAGCTCTGAAAGCCATGTACTTACTCACTCTAATACCCCAGTGATAGGCCGTCGTCGAGCCTACCAAAGATAATAATTCCTATCTTGGTCTCACTAACAATAGTAAGGGTAAGAAAGGGTCGAACCCAAGAGAGGCGTTGAATCAACCACCGAGTACTACCGTTTAAATAAGCTAAACGAATTCTAAATTGGGTTGGTTTTTAGTAACTTCTTCTAACACAATTCAACTAAGCTGAGAGGAGGTTAACAATATTAAGAGGAATCTAGGGCTTGGGTTATACCACTCAACTTCATCACAAATCACAATTAGCATGCAACAATCAAGGTAAATTAATGGGATAAATTAGGGGAAGTCATCTAAAGCACCCAACTACTCTCTCAAGCTAGAGGGATTACTTGAATCATGAATACGACCTACTCTCGTGGTTACATAGCATAAAACAAGTGTTAAAGCATAATCACGATGACATAAACATTCCCTTGACCGGTAATCCCTATTCTCATGGCATTTCGGGTCAATCAAGCATAAGGGAGCTAACTCAAGTTCATCTCTCGATCCTTCGTTGAGAAAGCTTGGATAAATAGTTCTAGCAATGGCCATATACAAGAACTAAGCAATTAAACCACTTAAGCTCAACTAATTAACATCCCACAACAACCAAATTAGCACATACAACAAGTAATTAGTGACTACATTGAGGGTTTTGCCCAAACCCTAGAATTTAGACTACTCACAATCCATGGGGGTTAAAGCAATTAAAGATTTCAAGCAATTCATGAACAAATTCAAACTAAGGATTAAGCTAATTAACAATCCAAAACATGCAAGAACTAGAAAATAATTAACAACAAAGTAAAGAGAAGTAGAAAAGATGAGTAAGAAATGGTTACTATGAAGCTTCAAGGTGAGCAACAATGGTGGATTTTGTCTTCTACAATGATTGAATTTGAATAATTCCAAGCTAATAATTGAGAACTAACTAATGATTTGAGAATTTAATGTTCTAAGACTACAAACTAAGAGAAAAGCTCTGAAAAACTGCCTCTCCCCTGAAAAACTGCCTCTAAAGGGGTATTTATATGACCCCCAAATAAAAAGGACGGAGAAAACAAGGAAAGAGTTCGACTGCAGGTCTGCACGGACGTGCCAGATTTTGCACGGACGTGCCAGATTTGGCACGGACGTGCAAGGCTAAGCACGGCCGTGCCAAGTTTGGCACGGACGTGCAGAGGGGGCAGAACTGAGGCAGAACGTACTGCTAAGAATCGAGCAGTTCCGCACGGACGTGCAGATATTGGCACGGACGTGCAGCTACATCTGCACGGACGTGCTTAATTTGGCACGTCCGTGCAGGCCTTGGCAGAATGTTCTGAGTTTCTGGAGCACTTCTGCACGGACGTGCAAAGTCTGGCACGGCCGTGCACCCTCTTCTGCACGGACGTGCCAGATTAAGCACGGCCGTGCAGGCCTTGGCAGCTTGCTGAAGCTTTCTGGAACCTCCTGCACGGACGTGCAAGGTCTGGCACGGCCGTGCAGGGTCTTCTAAACCCCTTTTTTCATCTTTTCTTCTATAATGCTCCTTTCCTTGGCTTCTTTCATCCATCTTCTTGCTTCTAACCTCGGCTTTGTATCCATGGGCTCCATTTGGTCGTTCTTTTGAACCTAGAATCTCAACAAAAACACCAACAACCCGTGAAGCATAGGATACACAAAAATTGCATAATAATAGAGTAAAAATGAACCAAAACGCAATTTATATCAAGTAAACTAGGTTCAAAACACCCTAAAATCGTATCAAATAGCAAGTTATCACCCAGTCTAACCATATTAGCTCCATTATGTCATGAAGCCTCATATAAGGGTTGACCTTAAACTGATTTTGGTAGGTCTCACCAATCCATCTTGCTGACATCTTCTTCACTCTTGGAGATCTACCACACTTATGCTGACTGACATGGGACTTGACTGTGAAATGAGTATTATTCCTATCCAAGAAGCCCATATTCTCCAAGGACACCCCTTAAGTTTGTTCTCACATTCTGCCCCTACCCTTTGTTTGTCATTTTTTGTGAAAGGTATGTTTCTGCCTAGCTTTATGGAATGATTTTTGACTGCCTGTTTAAATGCAGCAGGGTTGTCAAACTGTTGACAAGGGAAGAAGTCTTCTATGCACTCGTCATCCTTAGCTTTTGCAACCTTCCTAACCTTATTATTAGGGGGTGCAACTAAGTAACCACATTCATCATCATCCTCTGACTCATTAGGGCTCTCAATGTCACTAAACTCCTCAAAATATGTTCTTATCTCACCAAGGCCCTTTGATGCAGCTACCTTCCTAAGCATATCCAATTCATCTTCATAAGAATGTTGATTTTTTTTATCCATTGCAATTTCATCCCTAGCCTTCACAAACTCTTCATCATCCTCATCTGTTCCCTCTGTATCATAGTCTATGTTAGATTGGGTTGCCCTAGGAATTTGGGTTGGTTCAAAAACATTTTCATCAACTGTGAAAGGTTGGGTTACCCTAGGAGTTTGGATACGTTCACCAATAACCTCGGAAACATTGTTATCTATTAATAAGCTCATGAATTGTCCCCTTCTCCCATGATTGAACAATGGAGTGGCTGGTTGGTCATGTTCAGTGTAAACGTGAATCAGTTTGTATTCAAGGAGAAGAGACAAGAAAGGATCACAAAGCCTAATTTCAAAGCTTAAGTACCTAATGCCACTATTCAAATCTTTCCTGGGATCCAAAAAGTGGAGCTTCACAATGCAATGTCATTATAACCTAACCCCTCTATTAACCCTTTCACATAATGCCCATCTATATTATCAGGAAGGTTATCAAAAACATTTATCTTCCCACCTACATAGAATGCACTAGAAGAAATTTGCCATTCACCACCATGATGTACAACCAAACATGGTTTTAGATCCATTTCTGACAAAAGTAAACAACACCAAAATTAACAACCTAAGCAAGCAATAATTTCAACAAAGTCAATGAATCAATTCAAAGCATAATAAAAACTTGATCACATTGCAATATATAAAAACAGAATATTTTGGGTGGAGAAAAGGGGGTGAGCTTCCTCCAAAGCTTCCATACCTAGGTGAATGCATCTATTAGATATGACCGTTGATTTATTGCAACTCAAATTTTTAATAGATTGATTATAGCTCATCCACAAACCAAGGATTGAACTAAATAGATGATTTTTCAATTATTTTAATGTATTACAAAAAAAGGTAGCCTTACTGCTTTAGCATATACAGTAGTAAACATATTTAATTAGCATTATTGAAATAATAATGGTGGATCATATCATGCATGATCTATTCTCATCTAATTACAAACTTTAAAGCATAATTTAATAAGTTTAAGGTTATAAAAAGAGACAATAAGCTATCAGAATTTGATACGTTGATGATTAAACAAACATAAAAAAAAAACCAAAAAAAGACCCATATAATTTAATCTCAACATATAACAACAGAAACCTCATCAAAAAGAGAGATTCAATAATAATAATAATCAATTAGAACAATCAACTAACTAACAGAATTAACGGTAGTTTAGAAAATCATCACAACAAAAATTTGATCATCATCATCATCATTCATTCATTCTTAATTCATCAACAACAACTAGATATGGCCGTTGATTTATTGCAACTTAAATTTTTAAAAAACAGAGCATAACCAAACCCTAACCTACCCGTAAAATCGTTAGAAACCCTAACCCACAAAAATTCAATCTTTACCAATCACAATTACACACAATACCACAAAACAGCATAATCAAGCATATTTGAACCAAAATAAGCACAATTCCAGAAAGCCCCCCCCCTTTTTTTGGCAATAACATAGCAGGGTTTGATCATATAACTAAATGGAGATTAATTTTTAAGAAAACAGGATCGATGACCATACCTTGAGCAGATGTGAGTTTCGCCATCTTCGCTTTCTTCTGCTCCGAAGATTCACCAAATTCCCAGCCAGACATCATAAACAATGGAGTAATTACTTTGAAGATGAAGTGTGGGTTTTTTTTTGGTAACCTTCTAGAAGGCCCCTAAACTATAATACTCGTTCATTAATTAAAATGATAGAAGGTCCCTTAACTTTACTCCTTCATTAATTAAATGCCAACTCATACCCAGAAGGTCCTTAAACTTTGATTATTTTTTTATGTTTTTATTTTTTTTTGCCACATGGGCACTATAGTTCCTAAACTATGCTAACTCATCATTTTTTCACCGGAAAAGTCAGGTAAGGGTGGCAGAGGGACCAATTTGCTTCATTAGAAAGATGAGGGACCAAAATGCTACAAATACTATAGTTGAGGGACCATATTTATGCTTAACTCCTTCATGGACTGGATTCAATGGTATGTGCCTATGTGACTGTGGTTTGGTGGTTGATCCAAGTAAAAATGATGTTCTAAATCTAATAAGGTTAGCATAATTTAGGACTTTAGATTTGTACGATTCATTCTAATATGGATTCTACCTTCTTTTTTTTTTTTTTTTTAATGGATATGGATTCTACCTTATGAATATGAGTATGCATGCAAAATTGAATCGATTCAAACTGATGTGTGTTGAATAATCTGGTACAACTTGAATCATAACATATTCTGGATAATCGAATAGAAAGCATATTGAAAATGACCTACTCGACCTAAGCTAATTACAATTGGGATTGGTTTCTTTCTCATCATAAGCTAGTTTAAATAGATCTAAACTTGATCGAATTTGGAAAGATACAACTTGATCCATCTTTGAACCAAAAATCTTCTTATTCTAATATGATTCGTATTCACTTTGTACCGGAGTCGATAATCTCTTCACCTAAATAGAATCCAACCTGAATTTGAATTGAACAACCATTTACCAACGAACTCTAACTACAAGCATATCTTTATGAACTTATAAAGACTGAAGATGTCAGCTTGTATGTTCGGCTTGGCCTGGTCAAGTTGAAAACGAGTCATATAAGGCTAATTGTTAAACTAGTCAAAATCGACCTAAATTGAGGTTTTGAAGTGAATTATAGTTGATCTATTTTAGCTAGAGAAACAAGTTTAAATTAAACCTCTATCAATCTCAACTTTAATTAGAATTATTGAGATTTAAACTACAAGCTTGATTAAGGACAATTCAATTACTCTAAAGCAAATGTATATATTTTTCTTTTAGGAAAAAGCAAATGTGTATTTTTGAAATAGGAGAAATAGGTGGAGATTGTATGTTACTCTTCATATCATATATAAAGTTTTGGAAATGCCTAAGTCATACATATGATTGTCATCATCCTTTTACAAAGCAAAAGATCAATCTTCAAACAATGCCTCATTTTTGCAAATTTGGTCAGTCTAAAACAAAACACATGACTATAAAGTCACAACAACACAATTTTGCAAATTGCAACCACTCATTACTAGAGACATTAGCTGTGTTATTGACTAGTTTTTCATGTTGAACCAATATTCGCAAATGGAGTCAAATAACATATTACTTAATGGAAGTAGAAAAATAAGGGTTAGGGGATATAATATAGCAATATTGAGTACGATTTCTAAACTTTTTAGTTTTTTTTATCTATTTATTATCATATAGCAACACACGTGTTGACAATTAGCTGGTAGTTGTAGCTTATAATATTAGTTGACTTAACTAATTAGTAAATTTTTTTTTTTTTTTTTTTTTTTTTTTTTTTTTTTTAAAATAGTCCATTTGTTGTATGCATGTTCTATAACTTTGTGTTTTCTCAGTTTTTTTAAATCTTACTATTATTCTTCGAAGATATTTACAAACTTCAAATTTTCAAAAAATAATAACAAAGAAAAGAAAAAGAAGTACATAGCCATGTTTTGTACGGATTATTATCTTAAATTTATCTTCATATAAATTTTTAATTTAACAACCTTTTTTGGTAGCTAGAAAAAAAATAAGCACCAATTTTTATACAACTAACTTTTAGATTGAATAAGTATTCCGTTACATAATTAATACTCCACTATTTATTTATTTTTTGTGTCAAAAAAATATTATTAATGCTCCACTACGTATTAACAATTTTTTTTTTAATTGAATTAAAATTATTTTTATTAAATTTTAATTATTTTTATTAATATTCTATTATATTTGCTCGTTGAAATTATTAATTAAATTGGTCCATTAACATGGTATAGTTGTAAAACATAAAAAGTCGATATGATTCAAGTATATCGCACTATTCGCATGTCCACTGACGAGATAAGTGTGATCGCAAAACGTTTGACGGAGTAGCAGTTTTAAAACTTCTTAAATCGGACGTTTTATAAAAAATAACGTGAAAGATCAAAAAGCACAAACGGCAGCGTAGTTTAATGGAGAGGCAAATAAGAATTAAGCAGTTTCCAATAAATTCCCATTAAACCGGGTAACTGCCATGTGCCAGTTAATTTCCCCGCACGAAATGCTCCTTTTTTACTCTCACTCGCCATTTCAGCGCGTCATATTTAACTGCTTTCTTTTTCATAATCCTACGGTCGTGATTTAATCTAACAGATACATCCAACGCCTCAGATTAAAATAAGGAGTAGTAGTCAAGTAAGTGGGTCCCACAGTTTTTTCAGACAGTTGTGGTTACTGTTTAGATACCTTACTGCTAAGCATGTTTTAAGGGAGCTTCTATCACGTGCTAAGCTGCTGCTGCTCCCTTATCATTTTCATTTATCTTTATTTTTTAATTTTAGATTTAAATTATTGATATTAATTTATTATGGCTGCGTTTGGTCAAAGCATTTAGAACAACTTTTATGGATATCCTTAATTTTTTTTATATAGTTACAGAGTATTAAAATTGGTATTAGGTCTTTATTAGTATGGATTTTATAATAGGATGGATTATGTGGTCAAATTATCACCAAACTTTTATGTTTATTTATAGAAATTTCATCAAGTTTATAATATTGTTTTAAGTGTGTGTTGTCTAGTTAGGAGTGATTGGTCTAATTTCTAATGCATGGTTTGATTAACTAGTTTCTTCAAGGAGACAGTTGGAATTATGTTATGCAAATCTATGTTTTGATTTTAACATATCTGATCTTGCCGTTCTTGTTTACATAACATGTTAAAACAAATACTTTTAATTAGGAGCTAATATAAGGCATCCATTTAATTTTTGTTGGAAAGTATCTTACTAACCTACAATGGTGGAACATTGTCCTTAAATGTAATTTCATCCCCAATTATTAATGTTAAAAAATTATTCAATAGTCAATATCACGTATACAAAGAATGATCGGAGCTAACTAGATTTTATTAGTACTATATGAATAATTTGAAAGATATGATTTTGGGCTAAACTAGTATTGACATCATGACATGAACATTAGGCTCATTTCTGAAATTAAATTATGAATATACTAGGTATATATTACCATCACACATCATCGTCATTATCGCATTATAAAACACATCACCGTCATTAAATTGCATACTAAACAAATCGTTAAAGAATACTAATCATGTAAATTGCATAAATATCACGTAGTATGTTGCTTTGTACTATGTATAAGCATATTAATTTGTCTTTATGTTCATTCCTTAAAAATAAATTATCCTTTTTTGATTTGTCCCTTGAAATTTTGCCTAGTTTTCTTTTCCTTTAATTAAAATGGTGTGTCATAATTTTCATGTATAAACTATAACTCAAAGGAACAATAGTTAATTTAAGATTAGAAAATCAAAGGTGTCAATATTTGAACCAAAATGTAACCCTTTTTAGACATAGAAAATGACTTTCATATTCTAACACCTAAATCCAACTTTTTAGTACCAAAAATTAACCAATTTTAGCAACTAGTACAACAATACCATCTACTAATTACCCATCATTATCAACAACAATTTTTTTTTTTGGTTTTTTTCCCCCAAAATATCCTAATATCTAAAATAATTTTTATTTTCCAACGTGGCCATCAATTTTCCAAGTGACCAAGATCAACATTGGTTCTTGTGGGTCCCATTTGATCACCATAATTCATTTATTCACAAAACAACATTCTCTCAATTTCAAAGGTCTACCAACAACAAACTATTATCATTATCTTTTTTGAAACCAACTATTATCATTATTCTTTTGTTCCTAAATGATAATTAAAAGCTTCAAAATTGTATCTGTCTTAAACGATTACATCATTATATTTCGTGACTCTCCTTTATTGTCGAAATAAAAACAGAGTACACTAATAAAGTAATAATAATTAAAAAAAGTTCTCAATTGCTGAAACTAAGTCTTGACCTTTCTTTGCTTATTACATCCTTCCATTTTTGGCGACCTTTCCATTACCTCCTTCCCTCTTTCTTTTTTTCTCTCCAATTTTTTCCTACTTTTCCTTTCTATCTGAACTGAATCTCTGTTCAATAATCCTTAACCCTAGTAAACTTCAAAAAGGTATGTCAATTTAAACTTTCCATTTTTGTTAATTTTTTCCTGGGCATTTTTTTTTTGGTTTCCTCATTTGGCGGGTGTTGTAAATGCTGTAATATTTGTTGATTTATGATTTTAGTGATTACTTTTAAAATATAATTTGTACCCTTTGCAATTTTTTGTTCATGTTATTTCAATTTATTGCTTTGAAAAGTTAAATGTCTTGATTTCCTCATATGGGTATGTAGAAAATGACTAGATAGATGAATGTTTGATTGGATTTTTATTAGTTTTTGTATATAGTTAATATTCAATTTTCTGGGTTGTGTTGATTTCAATGTTGTTTATAATCTTTGACATACAGGAATTTGATCGTGCAAGTTACAAAAGGAAGTACCAACTTTTTTGTTTTCAATTTTTTGTCCAATTTCTGCTTGAGCAGTGTTTGGGTTGGAGGATCATAGGAGTCTTAGAGATACTCGAAAGTGAATCGGATTTTTTTATTTGGTGGGTCTGTTTTATTGCATAATTGGGTTGCAATAAATCATAGACTTGTTGATTCTGGTATAATCTGAAGAGGAGGAATTCTTGATTTGCTGATTTTAATGGTATTGGGTTTTGCCAACTGATATGGTAGTGATGAAGAATTTAGTACATGAATGACATAGGATGAGCTAAGATTTTAGTGAAATGGAGTTAAAAGGGGATGTTGATGTACCTGAAGAACGTCCATCTTCGCCGCTGTGGGTTTTGCACCAGATATCTGAGGAGGCAGTTAGGGTGGCAAATGAATACTTGAGTAGTGCGAACACATCACCAGTTTGGACGGGGCACAAACGAAGTCAGAGTGAAGTTGTAAACAATACACACCGGCGGAGTAATAGTTTCCAAAACTTAAAGTCTCAGATATCGAAAGCTTGGCGGTGGGGTGGGAATACACAGTATGAAAATGGAAAGTTTAGTTTCAATCCCGAGGTGCTGGCAAACCAGAAACGCCATTGGTATCAACTTCATACCCAAGTATGTTTATACTGTATCGTAATTTTTATTACATGATTAGTCTTTCTGTATGTATTATTTACCTCCTTTATAAAATTGATATGGTGGCTATGTGATGCAAAATATGAGGCTTTTCTTTGAAGAGGGAACTAAATAGGTTTAGACTCTAGAGCTTTTGCTCCAAATGGGAGGGTAAGGGTCAAAGACTGGGAACCAAGGTCTAAAAAATGAAACCACTCTATATTTCCCTATAAGCTGTCAAGTTGAGGTTGATGAAAATTGAATCATAGGTGGGGGCTCAATCAACGAGTTACCACACTTGATTTTTATGTCACAAGTATATATGAGTGTGCAATTACCCATTTTTATTCACCCTGCATTTCAATAATTCTGTGACCCCTTAGGATCTAAGAGCATTTATGGTGGACTAGTTGCTATAACTAGCTTATTTTTAAAGCAAGAATACCCTTTTAGTTTAGGTTAATATTTGTATGTTATGGTATGAGCCGTATGACAAATTATTGTTGGTGCAGATGATTTTCTTAAAAATTAATTTAATCATAATGATATATGGAAAAGTTTTTGTGCTGTGCATTTTCAAACAAATATGATTATAGGTTGATGATTTATGTATGTTGAGTTGATGACAGGGAAATTTAAGGTCTATATTAGTAGTATTTATAAGTTTATATTGTCATATTACACGTTTGCTTTGGAGTCTTTTTTCTTGTGGGTAGTCCTTGTAAATTATAATTGGGTGATTGCTGTTCATTTTCATATTGGAAGTATTGTAATTGCTGCTAACTAGCATTAGCTTTTCAAAGCATGAAAATCTGGCTTCCTTGTGTCTGCATTGTTGGTTTTCTGAAGACTCAAAATCCCTTAAAGATTGCTGTATCCTATGTCTCATGAAAGTTCTATCTTGTAGCACGTCTTCTAAAAGAATTTCAATGTATCTGTCATCTCAATATAATGCTGACCCCTCTGTCTTTCTCCACCTTAGAAGCCTAGCTTTGTTACTCTTCATCTTGAAGTTGCATCTTTATATCTTTCCAAATTCAACTTTCACATCTGCTAAAATAAGATTTAGTACCCCTTGTGACAGTCTTGCACGGTTTCAATTAATCTTCTTCTGCTTGGCCAGAAAAAAAGAAGCATAATATTTTTTCAGTTTTGATGAGCTTCCTCGGATTCATAGCTCACAAGATGTCCTTGCTTACTTCAGCCATTGTGGTGTGTAACCTTTGTGTTGATCTTGAATGGAATAGCTTAGATTCAATTATCTGATAGCTTTTCTTGTTTAACATTTACTACTATGTCCACAGACCTTGAAATCGAAAGATGGGAATAACCCTTTTGGGCTAAATTGGAAGACAGAAATTTTTGACTTAGGTATATGAGATTACACGTATTGGAGTTCAACAAAGTTTTGTGCAACTTGTTGGCCTTTCTTATACTCAAGCACTCTATAGTCTGTAACCATGTTGCCCATGTTTTTTTTTTTTTTTTTCCATGCGAAGTTGCTTCCTTTGGATTTTCTTTGAACTTCAAGTTGTGTATTGAGCAGAGCTGACTGATACTTTTGTCACTCCCTTGAGTCTCTACTGCAAAGCCACCTTTTTCATGGGGACTGCTTAACACATGAGCCCCCTCTCCCTCTTCTTGCAATTACCACTGGGTTCATTCTTTGTCATCTGTGTCATGAGGCTGTTCCTGGCTTAGACTGATTATAAGATGGTGACATGAATTATGATTGATTAAGTTTTTTGCTTATCTCTTGCTATGTTATGCTTCCCGCATTCGTAGGTAATTGCACCATTTAAAACAAAAGTGTCAAAATAGTAGCACCATTCCCTTATTTGGTAAATATATTATGGAATAAATATTATAGTGCCCCTCATAATTTCATTTTATTACCAACTCCCATGCCCCATCTTTACTTCCTCTCTCTCTCTCTCTCATCAGTCTTTACCCTCATCGTTCTCTCTAGCCAACAGTTACAACCACAGCAACCACTCTTGTTGTACCACCATCACCAAGTGTATTATCGATCATAGTTAACTATCAGCTGTAAATTCATCTTTTCCCACAGCTCCAACGACCGAAATCCACCACGAAAACCACTCTAAGCTTTTTTGTTTATGTTATTGGCGTGAGTAATTCATCAAAATTAGAGTGCTTGGTGTTTGGGTTTGACCTGAGGTCTTATATTAACCTTAACTGCACCACAAAGCACTTAATTTAGATGGTTTCTGTATAATTCATCACTAAATTAGGTGGTATTAGGGCATGAAATTTTGATGAGTGTGTTGGAATGGGGGGTGGTGGTGTGATATTGTGGTTAATACCTGTTTATAACATCAACTTTTTCATTTACATCTCAATTATGATTTGTGATCAACCTGATGAACATTTGAGGCGAAGTTTCACAGGTAGGACTAGGTAGGAGTTTCATAGAAGGAAATTAGGAGATAAATTTGCAATCAATTATATTTGAGATTTGTTGCATGTGTCGGAATCTGGATCTGCTTATGTCCATTTTCCTCTATCTTTAAACATGTCAGTATACATGAACTGGGTTGGTGCAAGTAGCATAGGTGAGTACTGGACTCATTGGAGATGTATCTGGTTAAAGGGATGGCTCTTTTTATTATTATTGGTTTTCAATATACCTCTTGAATTATTTACTTTTCTATTTGAAATAATTTGAATTGGCCATAGTAAAGGCAGAGTTTTTCTGGGCATATAGTTTATGACTGGAATGCTGCTTTCTTGTCTTGATTGAAAGTTGTTAAAGATAAAACAATGTGCTCGTAGGGTCAGCCAGGTTGAAAAATTAAGTATGCTGCCAGCTTGATGTTTTTCCTTAGCTCTAGTTTGTTCCTTCCACCTTCATGGTGTGAAGGGGGAAGGTCAGGGTGGTAGTAAACTGTGTTTTCAGTATTTCACTTATGCTGTTCATGGACGTTTTTTTTTAATCGTACTTTCTCATTTGGTCTTAAATAACTTGCACCATGTGGCTTCCTCAGGATCGAACCCAATATCAGGAGCCCACTTCATTATTTGAACACTTCATAGTTACAGGTCTACATCCTGATGCTAATCTTGAAGCTGTCGAGAATGCCTTTGCTAGAAAGAAAAAGTGGGAGACAGGAGTGGCTAAATCAGAAGAACTGAATGGAAGATCCTTGAATTATCGTGGTCCCTCGTCTCCTGTGCTGGATCCTCAGGTTTGATCCTGATTAATTATATGTATCATTTACTTGCTTAGTTGCTTATTCCTTTAGAGAATTCAAGGTCTACCGATATATCCGTAAAAATGAAGTAGGGTAATATTGGGACAATGCAAGCCCAAGATACATTTTTAGAATTTGCATGGACATGTTTAACTTATGGTTGTGATTGTATGTAATGATGTTTCTTTTGTGTGCAGATAATTTTCAAATATCCGCCTGGGAAGAGACTGCCTATGCGTGTTAAGGATTTATGTGCATTTACTTTCCCCGGAGGTGTCAAGGTTTTCATGCATCTCATGATTAATATTTTGATTTTGCATTTGAGTTATTTCTGTCTGAATTAATGCAGCTTGTTTGATTTCATGAAATGTAAATTTTAGTTTTGCTTAGAATATTGTATCAGAACTTGCAGCATGCTTTCTCTATGACAATAGTTTCCTTTTAGTGTTTTTTATTTTTTATATAAAAACTTTATATACTACTTTGCTATAATTAGTCATCTAATGAAGTATGATTTTGATACTTGTTTATGTACCAGTTATCTTTGACCTCTTAACTAAAGTATTAAAACAAGTTGAATAGAACACACTTGACCTATGACCTTATCAACATTGTTCTTAGAAGACGGCCTGTTATAGTTTTGTTTGCTATTGCCTAAAGTTTTGGTACTTTCAATGCTTTCTTTGAAAGGAAATTTATGGCAAGTTTCTGAAAGATCCAAAAGTTTAAAAATCAAATGATATTAAACTTCAAGTGCTTCTTGAATTTCAATATGAAGGAGAGTTTTGGTTAGTCTGCTGAGGGATATAAAAGATCAGAAGATGGCTACCTGGTCTTAGAGGTTAGTGTGGTTTCCATTTCACTAGGCATATGAGAATATCATGGCAGCAAGGCAACAAGGCCAACACTATTCTTCTTGCTAGATTAAATTGTTGGCACTGGTGTTTTGGAGCTGAATGTCACTTTCATCTGAAGCTCTGTTGACGTGTGATGGAATCATACAATATCAACTAGCATTAAGTTTTCTTTAGTGACCTTGATTTGTTTTCTCCATGATGTTGTATGGTAAATTTTTATTAATTCTTTCTTTTTCTATTGTCATCATCATTGTGCAATGATTAGAATGTCACTATGGGAATTTCCTTTGCTTATTATAGTATTGGTGTGCCTCTTGTAATATATTTTTGTTTGTTCAACTACAGGCTCGGCTAATGGAGAGAAGTCCATCCCTGAGCGATTTGAATTCACTTGTTTATGGGCAGGTAGGTTCTGTATTCTTGTTATGTTGTTACTGAAAATTGGTATCTCATGCACTCGTTTATACTCCAAGTCTCCAAGGGCTAATGATGATTGCTGACTTTATATTATTTCTTGTAGTTTTGACATTTTATTAGTTACACAATCTTTCGTTTATTATTGTTTGAAATGAAGTTTAATCAATGTCACCTGTAAAATCCACATTAGCCGCGTTATTTGAGGACCCACTCTTATGCGTGGAACTTAGGTTAAATTTGCCTTCTGTTTGTTTTCTCATTTCTAACCAAAATTTTGAAGTATAACATAGCTGGCCTTTAAGTGCAGTAGAATTATTGTAAAAAAGGTGAATAAATGCACTCAGCACCTGTAATTGCAGTTAGTCTCTTTTAGAGGACTTTAATCACTTTGATATGCAAAAAGAGATGACCCCCAGGCTCGTAGCCATGTAAGCACAGGAGACAGACATCAGGGGAAGTGCATATGAGGGTTGTTGAATCTGCATTTTATCACTAGTGTAGCCTTTACAAATATGTTGTTCATGCAAAGGTCTCCTATTTGACAGCTTCTACTTCCAATTGTAAGTGGCCAAGGGGAAAGGGTGTTGCATGTTTGAGATCGTTGTAAATGATTGGAGATGTTACCAATGAATAAATGCCATACAAATTGCCAATATGCTATTACTAGGAAAATGAAGTCCATCACCATATCAACAAGTCCATCTCTCTTGTACTTCTATTTCTCATGAAAAGAAAAATTGCTTGAAAAGTATGATCCTTCTTTTTGATGGGCTATGAAAGGGGGCATTATGAAAATTCAAAGATGGTGAAGATGAGGGACAAATGTGAAAAGAGAATACTCTTTTGTCCACAGAGACTTCTATCATGATCTAATTTAGCCTGCTAACTCATCTAAAACCTAGCCATTGGGAAAAATATAGAATATGTTTGGGTTACCAACATCCATGGGCTTGAGTAGCAGGATTTAATCTCTGCCACTTTGTTACACCTTTTCATGGGTTCTTCTTTTTCTTTATTACTCAATTTCATAAGTAATCGAGAGGGGATATTGCCATTTGCCACAATCATTTTATGATAAAAAAATAGCCTATCTCTTCATAAAACTGGTAGTTTTGCAGACTACCACTTTGTTTAGATATCTAGAAGGCAAAAGAAAATGAGGGAAAGAGAAGGAAGAGGGGAAAAGTAAGGTAGGGGAAGGTGGAGCTGTATTATTCCTCCAAATCTTCCCAATTTTGGAGGGATTGTGTTTATTAAGGAGGAAGCGAAAATGGATTCTTTCATGTCCCTCTCCTTTCGACCCACGACCTCTTATCCAAACAAGGGAACGTGTACCCCTCTCCCCTCGTTCCTCCCCTCCCTTTCTCTCCATTCCTCTTATCCTAGCAAAGTGTATTTCTTCATTGGAATATCCATAAATTCTTGTTAGATGGAGAGAATATTTATGATTCTTGAGATTTTAATGGAATGAAAATATTCAGATGGGAGATGACACAGTATCCTATCTTTACCTTAAGTCATCAACCCATCACCTTTCTCTCATTTTAGCCCTTATAACCTCCTTGGCCATTATTCACTAAGATTTATAGTAAAAACTCAATCCTTCATCCACTTACTCTAACTAGATCAAAAACGAATTGCCTTTTATGAAAAACCAACTAATCCTCTAGTTTACGTTAATACAAAATAAATTACACATCCATACCTCAATGCTTAGCATTGCCAACCATCTCATAGCTATGCAATGAGAATTGCCTGGAAAAAACTGTGCCTCGGATAGATTTTACTTTTTTCCCACCATTGGAAGTAACCATTTAAGCCTTAGGATTATCACCGTATTAAAGATAGCAGAATAATTGGCTACCCCTCATAAACCCCTTGAGAGACTAAAACACCCCCTCTGATGTACGTTTGTCTTCATTTATTAAGTAAAATCTTTTTCATTGATATTAGTGATCTATTAAGAACATGGGTAATAGATGTGTGTATATTGGGAACAATCCCTCCAGTATCAGAAGCCATTTATATGAGATGATGTATGTAAAATCATGTGGCTTAGGGTGTACTGTACTTTTATGCTCATAATTGAGTTTGAGGGTTGATGTGAAAGGCTAATTGCAATAGGAAGGTGGGTGAGAGAAGAGAGAATAGAGTCATATTACTATAGCTATAGAGGAGAGTGAGAGTTATGTATGTTCGTGTGCAAATAGTTATTCCTCTTCATAAATAATCTGATGCCAAAATTTAATGCTGGCACATTTTGCTTTATATGGCCACAAAGGCTTACTGTGGTGATTGGTGCGAAGGCTGATAGAACTACAACTTGATTTATGCTTTTTTAGTTGCTTCTAACATTAATATATATTGTATTTGCAACTGTTTATGTAACACACCATAGAAAATCTATCCTAGCTAATTTTAATATTTTTTATTTTTCAGGAGCATATGGGTAGGGATGATTTGGCATTTGTTTTCTCATTGAAGGTAAAACCATTAAAGTCAGAAGTAAGACGTGTTTGCAGAATTGTTTCTAGTTAAAGTACAATGCAAGTTACAACTTGGAAATTGAATATATCGTTATCTTTACCCCTTCCCCCCACCAAATATTTTGAAAGCGTTATCGTATGTATGCTTGATCAATAATAATATTTCTTGTGAAGAAATGATCTAAAAAATGGCTATTATAGTAATTTAACAGGATACCATCGTATCATGCTTTGTTTATTGATATTACTTCACTTTGGGGCCTGGATCTGTTAATGGGAAGCTGCAAAATATGGTGACAATTTTTTTTTCCAGAGAAATACAACATTCATAAACAGGATTTTCAATAAGGTTTCACAACTTTCAACAGTATAATGGCACAGCTTAATTGAAATATTAGCAGACAAGCTATAGAATTGGTTTATCTTCGCCACAAATGGACTCAAAATTCTGTTGGTTTTCTTATACTTGCTTGCCTGATGAACCAAATTTGAGGTTGAAAAATGTTAGTATTATGGTAAAGCTGTACCAATTGAAATATCTCTTTGTTATATTGTGTTCAAGATCTTTTTGGAGTTTTCTTTTCATTAAATTTGAATGTGAGCATCTCTAGTATTATTTTCCATACTGAGCTTTTATTATACATTGCTTATTCTTTTGAACCATTTTCTTTATTTATTTTTTGTTAGTCGAGCATCTTCTTTGGTTTATTGTCAGTTCTTTATTGGGGGGGGGGGTGGTTGACATTCGATTCTGAGTTATCTTGTCTTGAATTAGGCTGCAGATAATGGAACACTATATGGTGTTTGCCTGCATGTACCAGAAATTGTTCAGAGGCTACCTGCCATCTTGGGTTCTTCATCACCCTTGTGTAATCCATCTGTTGGAGGCAGTCGGTTTCTGGTTTCCGCACCCCGCTGCTACTGTTTGCTTACTAGAGTTCCTTTCTTTGAGCTGCACTACGAGATGCTCAACAGGTTAGGATATATCTACTGGACTCAGTTGGTTTCTGAATGTGAAAACTGAGAACAATATCACCTCCCATGTTCTATTCTATGCATTCTGCTTGTCCAGTTTGTGCAATTGAATTCTTTGTCTTTTATGGCAGTATCATTTCACAGGAGCGTTTGAATCGTATAACGCGGTTTGTTAATGAAATGAGTCTTTGTGGCTACTCTCCCTCCCCCTCTCCTTCAAGGGGACCATATGGAAATCTTGACTCGCCTAGTAAGGAAACAGAGTGGATGTCGTCAGCGATTCCTGTTGATAGTGCAATAGCCCTCACTGCTGCTGCTGCTGGTATTATAACTGAAGATGAGATCTCATCTGCGTCTTCAAAAATTGGGGAAACTCTATCTCCATCAAATGGGAGCGAGGCCTCAGATTTTGGTCCTTCTAAAGAGATAGACCAGGAAGGGAAAAGAAGTCTACAAGATTCTGATGATCTTGCTTCTGATGCATCTGAATGCTGTGCTAATGGTTTTGCTAGACCATTAGAGAATTACGAGAATGGTACTTGCTCACCTGAGGCTATCTTGTCATCCCAGGCTGATAATCTCAAGCTGGAGAGAAGCAATAGTTCTCTGTCTTTGTATAGGTATAACAGCTTACATTGTAATAATGAGTTAGATACTATAAGCCAGGTTATCCTGATAACATTCATGCACCTCCCAAGATCTCACTTGCATCATGTTTTGAGTCCTTGCATGTATACCCACTGTGGTAAAATTGCCATAAATTCAGCACAATCTATAATCATATTGGTCTGTTTTGACAGTTCAGTGAGAAGCATGGATGAAGATGATTGTTTTTCAAACCAGGATAGTGATTACTCAGGCGATTTCATGAGTATGGAATGGGCTAAGGTTTGTTTACCTTGTTCATTCTCTAAACGAAGACCTTTACTTGTAATCTGTGGTAGTTGTCTTTTGTGGTTTAAAAGAAGTTTGATCTTTTGTATTGCTCTCTTACAGGAGAATAAGAATGATTTGCTACAGATAGTTTGCACTTATGGTTCTCTTCCTATTCCTCCACGGGGGAACGAAGTAGTTTTTCAGCCACTTGAGCACCTGCAGGCCATCCAGTACAGACGCTGTTCGGATTCTGATCTTGGTATAGATGAAGTTTCGTTAGACGTAGAGTTGTGTGATCCAGTTAAATCTGCTGAGGTATGCTTTTTTCATGGATTTACTTTGTCAGGAGTAGCTTATATAAAAAATTGTTTGTCTTAGTGGTGTTGTGACTTTCAGGCCAATGCAAGATTAGCAGCTGCAGAGGAAGCTGTTGCATTATCTGTTTGGACCACTGCTACCATCTGTCGAGTGCTTTCTCTCGATAGTGTATGTATATGCTGACTTATCCTTGCTTGTTGGGCTTTGGTTGATAAATTAAAGTGATAAGTTCTGTATAACTATCCCACGCTTCATTCATTTTATTAATTGTCCGTATTACGGCGATCTAGAAGATTCAGTATATAATGGGAGACCAAACAAACTTTCATGTAGAGATTTATGTGTAAATTAGTAATAATTACATAAAAGATTTTGTTATAATTTATAAACATGTGATAAAGTAAGTGATTAAGTAATTTTCAAATTTCTTTATTATGAAATCGTTGCATAGAAATAGCATCCCTCCTCCCCTTTGATCTCATTTTGTCTGTATTTTTATATTTGACGTTTATATTGATTATTATATTTCTTTGAGAAAACATTGATTATTATATGAATACTAAATATATTGATTATTATATGAATACTAAAAATTCGGTGCTATTTTTTTATTCATGGACATCTTTTTCTGCTGCGCATTGTATTTCTGGCTGTACATTGGTTTATTTCTATTTTTATTTATTTTTATTTTTTCATTTTTTTATGACGCCTATATTTTTTAACATACTGATACCTTTTATTGCTTTATTCATAACTCTCACCATCTACAATCTTTCTTTCAGATCTTGGCTTTGCTTACTGGAGTATTGTTGGAGAAGCAATTGGTTGTATATGGATCTAATCTGGTAAACTATATTTGTAAATTCTATTCTATCGTTTTCATTTGTTTGAGGATTAAACCTTTTTCCGATTTCCCTACATTGTTCCCTTATATTTTGGGGTTGATTGAAGTGCCTTTAATTTGTGGTGTCTAATTACTAACCCGATTTTGCTAAAGTCTAGCTCTACTGGCTTGTATCTTGACTCTTGGCTCACTCGATCTTGAAACTTTGGATGCTATTGTGTACCTTAGGAAATTGTAAGCAACCTTACTTAAAAGGATTTTGGTGTGAAATTGTTTTTACATTAGAAAAAAAGAGTACTACATATTAAGGCCCTATTATCTTCACCTTATTTTGCTAAATTGTAGTTATTTTTGCTAAACTGTAATTGTTTTTACTGAATTGAAGTTAATTTTACTAGTTTGAAACAACTTTTACTGATTCTCTATTAAATTTCTTTTTAAAGTTATTGATTTTTACTGTGCTGAAATTATTTTTACTAAAATGAACTTATTTTTATTGAATTGAAATTATTTTATTGAATTTTATTTTTGTAAGATGAAGAACAGGGCCTTAGAAGGAATAGTGAAAAATAAAAGCAACTAGAAAGATAAGATGGCTTCACAACAAACACCTAATGATTGTAATGATAGAATAGTGATGTCAAATCTTTGAGATATGTCTTTCTTAAGACTATTTTCTTCACAATTAAACCAGCTTCAAGTTTTCTAATTTTCCATTCTGATGTCCACCTAAAAGAGAACTCATAATATGTAATTACTGAAATGATTGTTATGTTACTGATGTACTCCCTCCATATTTAATTGATTTCTTTATTTCTCCAGACACGGAGTTTTAGGAGGAATAGCAGAAAGTATTATTTTATGATTGAAGTGGGGTTGGTTGAAGATTAAAAAAAACGTGATAAAGCAAAAGTGGGTATTCGTGGGGAGGAGAGAATATAAATATGATGAGGGGACCACTAGTGGGGAGGACAATAGTAAAATATTGCTCAAAGTTTCCAAAAAAGAAAATGGAGCAATTAATTAAATATGGCCGCAAAAGGAAAATTGAGCAATTTTTTAAATACGGTCGCAAAAGGAAAATGGAGCAATTACTTAAATTCGGAGGGAGTATAATACATAGTTTCAGGATTTCTAGAATAGCTTTTGTAGTGAAATGAGAATCTATCCGGGCTTTGTACTGGAAGGGTTAAATGAAGGGCAAGATTCGACTTCCTTTTTCTGAAAACTTGAAAAGAGAGAAGTTCAGTGCTTAGAGAGATCTACATCATTTCTCCACACCAACACTAAAGAACTATGATCACTGTGCTACCATAATATATTTGTAGCAATAAGGTTTTGTGGAGTATCGATTTCAAACTATAGTCTCATTTCTTGTTTTGATCATTCAAGGTTTTATGGATTGGGTCAATTCCGGGGTGGCTGTGTGGGGCAATCTGGGAAGAGACCTTCAGTGAGGTGCTTGTAATATAGAGTGTGGGCGACAACCTGTTAACTTGAATGGGTTTTCCTGAAATTGTATCCCTCTTTCTTTTAAGTTCCAAGCCTTCAGTGAACCTTTCTATTCTATATTTGACTGTAAACATTGCTGGTGGTTGATGGTAACATCATATAAGGTGATGAATAACAAGTAGGATTTAGGGAAGAATACAAATTTTGATTATAGCTACTTGATTAGTGTGGTTTATCCTGAGATCTTAAGTGTCTTCTTGAGTTTGAAGCGTGTTTCTTTGCACTGTAGAATCATGCAAAGTGTGTCCTATATCTCAAGTGTTTTTAACACCAGCATTGCTCAGAGTTTATTACCATTCTGTTATTTGTGGATATGAAAAATTGACAATGTTATCTTAATTTTGTTTATGAATGATAATGGGAACATATAAATACTAATCTGCCCTGTACATTTACTCTGGACCTGTTATGCGACATTTTGTATCATACAAACTTTGAGACATCACGTAAACGCAAAGAAGTTAGCTCTTCGATATTCTTGTGTTTTTTTGTTAAATATGAGCTGTTTATCTGTTACTGCTTCCTCACCGCTATATTTGACTTTTGCAGGGTGTTCTGTCAGCTGTAGTTCTGTCCATCATCCCTATGATTCGTCCATTTGAATGGCAAAGTCTATTTCTATCAGTAAGTGGATGATATTTAAAAATCACCAGTCCATTTCACTTCATTTTGTGATTTACCATGGAATTACTCGCTTTCATAACATCTTCCTGCATCTATCCCTGTTCCATATATTTTGATCACAATGTCAGTCCAAGGGAAAAAGAGTTGGGCAGGGGAAACATCCTGAGCATATGTTTCATGATATATATCTTGACAAGTATCTCATAAAAGTGGAACTGCAAGATGATTAATTTTTCAAACTAATTAAATATTTATGTAATGGAAATCGCATGGTATCAGATGTTAGAAGACTTGGCCCAAGAACTTTTCAAATTCTATGGCAAATTTCTTTCTCTTCAAATTAATATGTCCTGTGTCTTTGTGTTGGTCTCCAAGGCCCACCTTTGACTATTTATATCTTTAGTTAAAATTTTGAATAATTGATGGCACAAAAACTGAGATTTTATCATATACATTGTGAGTAATAAATATATGGGATTGAAGTGGATGAACTTTGAACAAAAAAACAATTTGGGAAATCTGTGTCCGAATGTAGATGAGGACTAAGGCAGATAATCTCATGCCCTTAGCTGTCATATAGCTATGTTATCTACAAATCAAGCAAAGTCAAGTGCTGTTCAGATCCTGGCATTTTATAGCTAACCATTGTTGATTGCTAATTAGTAATAACATCAAGGGCATCTTAATGTAGGTCATGAGATTGTGATTAAATGATTTTATTTTGCTAAGCATTGTGGATCACATCTAATTGTTGTTTTTTCTGATATTATCATCGCTGCAGATTCTCCCTGTGAAGATGCTTGATTTTCTTGATGCTCCTGTACCTTACATTGTAAGTCAATTGCATTTAGCCTTCACATTCTAGTTTTGTAATTAGTCTTGATGCATCTGTTTCAGGATTTTCGTTAGAATGCACAAGTTACAAAAAGGTGCTTGTTCATTGATATTGACTATTGCATTGTCTTGCTTTTTCATTAGATTCTGTTTCATATTAAATTCCTTGCTTTCTGACGCTATTGCATATTAAATGCCTTGCTTTAATTGTGAGATGGTATTGTTCATCATGACTCATTTTTGAGTTTCTAATAGTGCGGGCCGCGGGGGTAATATTTTTTTTTTATGGAAGTTAGGCTGAGGAGAAACCCTCAAGAGTAGCATTAGGGTGTGTTAAAGATTTTCTCCTCTCAGAGTTTCTAATAGGAAGTTGTGTGTAGGTAAATATTGATTTGTGCATCTTTCGATTCTCATTTCCAAAAGTCTTCACCCGCCTCTCGTTCTGTAGCTTACTTTTGCAGAAAGCCATGGTCCTTAAGAAGATAAGTCATTGTGAGTACATGTTTAGGTAGGGTCAACAATAATCTATGGACAAATACATGCACGCAAATACGCAATGTGTACAGTGATGTATATGAAACCATTTTTCAACATTGTAAGGTGGCTGTGTGTGGTGCAAGTTGTTTGTGATCTGGGTCTGGTTTCTTCATCACCCAATTTGGTGCATTGGAGGTTACTGAAGTTTTAGTGGGAATAAGGGGAAGTTGATTTTAAGATATCAGGATGTCTTGCTGTTAGTTAAATTCTGTGGCTAGAGCGAAATGGTATGATGTTTAGCTATAATTTACAGGCAATGCTATTTGTGGTGCACTTTACTTCAGTTTGGCGCATTTTCGTGGGGGTTTCCTTAGGTCTCCCCTGAGATAATATCAAGCATGGTTGGCAGTGGCACATTATTTCTTGTACTACGTGTATTGTCTAGAGTTTTTATTTTATTTTATTTTATTTTTGATTTTTTTTAGATAGGAGAATTGTTAGGGTCTTTACCTGTAAATGGCTTGACTCAACCCCCTCAAAATTCCAGTGTTTTAGGTAGTGAACTTTATTTAGAAGGTGAGGGTTCCTTTTAAAGAGAGTGATTTTTTGTGGTCTTTGGCAGTGGATCGGATTAATGCTATTGACATGCTTAGGTTTTTTCAGCAGAAATTTGTATGCTTTGCTGGATGTTCACATGTATTTCTACATTGTGACGTGGCAAGTTATCTCTAGAGGATGTTGTTTGTTTTGCTGGAGGAATCTTGGGTTTTATTCTTTAGAGGTTGTGGATTTGCTGCAGATCAGATTTTGAGGGTTTTGTAAGGTTGTAGAGAAGTTGTTGTGACACAATGTTTGTATGGCAGTCATGCGGCGTGTGTAGCTACAGCAAAGCTCAGGGGTATTTTTAGAACTTTTCAATCATTATGGGACAAAGTCACTTATTTAGCTTTGTTATGAGCTAAGGTGACTGAAGATTCTGAGAGTTACTAAATGGGGAGGTTCTAAGAAGCTGGGTTAATATGTAATTTTGGTTTCTGTTTAGGGGACAACTTTTCCTCTTTGTTTTTATAAAACTTAACATTTAATGCCTTGGTATGGATTGCTATCCTTAGGAAACCAGAACAGAATGCCATCCTATTTCTTTGGGGCCATCCTATTTCTTTGGTAGCTTCTCCTCTATCAATACTCTCCATATTTTTTTTTTGGTTTGTTTAAGAATTCGATGTATTGACTTGTTAGGTAAGAGTGTTAGTTTCGTGTGTTATTAATTTTCTGGATTGATGTATGTCTTTAAACATTGCAACTTGTCATCCTGATGAAGCTCTATTTTATTCTGGTTTGCAGGTTGGTCTAAAGAATAAACCAGCAGACTTGAAGATTAAGACTTCTAATCTTGTCCTTGTTAATGTGGCAAAGGACCAGGTTTGCACTCTTTTTTAGATGTTAACGTAAATACATTTGTGTTAAGCATGTCATGGTATCTGATTGGAAATATCTAAGTTGTTAAGCCATGAAAATCTTATGTTGTTGCTAGGGCTGTTTGTTTAAAACATTTACTCGTGGTAACAATGGTCTATGTGTTTATATTGTGCTGGCCGTGAAAGCTGCAGGTGGAAGTTGTAATGAACTGATTTTCGGGGTTTATATTTCTGATTTTAAAATGCAAGTGAATAAAGATTAAAGCTTGAATATTGACTGAAAATGGCAGAAGGTTTACAAAATGATAGGTTTAATAGCTTGAGGCTATCACTCTTTAACAATGGCTTGAGGCCATAACTCTCTAGGTTTCCCTTCAATACAATTTTCTGCCTATTTTTTTCCTTTTCCCCTCTCTCTATTTTTACTAAAGCTAAAGACTCTAACCTAATAATACTAGACTACCAATATTGCCCCCCTTAGGTTAAGTCTATTACAGAAGTAAAGTATTTGATAAAGAATCGAGTTCCTGTGTAGTTTAGTTGACAAATGTATTAACTAAAACTCAAATCGGAGTAAATAAAAGAATGGAATGGAGTGGCTGATGAAAATATTGACAAAACACCCAGAGAGTTAGTTTTTCACTGATAACGGGAGTCCTTTTTCACATTTGAATGTTTATGCAGGTAAAAATGTGTTCCTTGCCCTTGCTACCTCGACGAAAGGAACTCTATTCTGAACTTCGTCCAATTCATACTGCATTGGCTGGTCATTATATGATGGCTGAAAAGCACCCTGTATATAAGTGCAGTGAGGAGCAGGTACTTTCTCTTTTTTTCTAAAACAGCCAAGTGTGGTTGTGATATATGATACTTCGTATGATTTTTTTTTTTTTTTTTTTTTTTTTTTTTTTTTTTTTGACGGGAGATATGATACGTGCTTTTGTCTTATGGAAGGTCATTACAATAGAAAACACACGCATGCTGGGGATCTTCTAACTCGTCTTGTGTCCTATCTTGCCACATTATCTTTTTAGATAGATCATTTACCATTTAGCTTAAAATAATCTTTCCTAAGTTGCTGATGTGTCAATAATGAGAAGAGGATGAGGTATCAAATGGGGCATATGATCAGTCCCTCACCCTAGTCGTACTTGTCAAAAGAGGGACACAGTAATAGTCGTAAAAGTTCCTGTGGATGTTGTAAGAAACTTTTGTAAGATTTGTAAATTGAAGCAACTTATGTTCATCTTCTACCAAGTGATGAATATTCAAAGAAACAATTTTTTAGACCAGCTAGAAGAAGGAAAGGACACAGTAGTAGAGTTGCATAGTCCTTTGGTTTAAGGAACATACTCACTCATAACTAAAAAAAAAACTAGAAATAAGATAGGCCCACCGACTTTCAATACCGACCAAGCAAGGGTTAACGCTGTAGTCAGGGAGTTGCCGGTAGTCTTTGGTAAAGAGGCAATAAAGCAGAGCTAGGAAAGGGAGACTAAAAGAAGCTTTTTAAGCGCGCTCTGAATGTTATCATCTGCATTGTTGATTTGTACTGGTGATTAGAGTTGGTGGAGCTTTTATGTAGCAATCATGATTTTCCTGTGTGACATGAGAGCCTGAGTCGTTGATCAAACTTTTCAAGTTCTTAATTAATTAGGTTAACATAAACCTGAAACAACATTAGTTGGGCTAAGTTTAGGCCAGGAACTTAATGATAGCTTTTCAAATTTAATTATCTTTAGCTTGAGGATTTTCTTTGATACTAGGGAGAAGTTCATGGGAAGCATCACCCAGCTGTAGACTCTAGCTAATACTTGATTTCTTTTCTGGCTCAAAATAAGACTTAGGATTCGTCTCAAGATTGCAAAAAGAAGGATATTAAAAATAATTCACCTGTATTTGGGATTTTTCTGTTTTTGTTGTTCATTATGAGCTCAGTTTATATTGTGAAGTCCAGGACAATCCTCATTTCCCATTTTTCCCCAATTAGATGGAAAATTATTCTCATTAATATCCTCATTCCCCCCTATTAGATGGAATATAGCTCTTATTCATTGTTTCCTTCAAAAAAAAAAAAAAAAAAAAGATAAAAAGATAAAAATCCATAAATGGGCAACATAGGCCGGGTTGGAGTTCCAAGTTAAGTAGTTCTTTTTCATATCATAGTCCTTGGCCTATTAGTTGGATGAGTAAAGATCAGAGGGGTAATACGAACCTAACCTATGCATCATGTTTGCTAGCTTCACTTTTTTACATATATTCAGTGATCTGCATGTCTGTAGGCACAGAAGATTAGATTTATGCCCCTTATACATATATAATTGCCTAGAGCCTTTCTCTTTAAAACCCTTTCTTGTAAACACATTGACTAGCATGCTACTCCATGTTTCCATATCTAGTACGAGACCTTTAATCCATAAGGTTCCAAGAACAAAAACTTCTCTACTGGTGTCTCGTTCTGGTACGTGGTAAATGGATTTTGCTCTGTGCATACATTATGTGTTCATGATGAGTGAAACATAGAATAAAGTTTCTTGTCTGAGATTCTAGTCATATTCTATAGGCTATTTTAAATTTCTAGATGAATTTGCAGGCTGAAGCTGCCACACGATTTGTAGACGTCATGAAGAGATACATGGAGTCCCTATGTGCAGATTTAAGGTCCAATACAATCACCAGTGTACAATCAAACAACGATCGAGTGAGTGAAACTCTATTAAATTTATGCAGTTAGGCGGGTGAACTATAGGGTTGAATGATAATATGAAATAGCAACAAGGATCTTAATTCTCGTGCTGTACATGCAGGTCTCGCTACTTCTAAAGGATAGTTTTATTGATTCCTTTTCTAGCAGAGACCGGCCATTCATTAAGGTTTGTCCTTTTGAGCCCTTTGTATCAAATCAGTTTGCATCTTATTGTAGACTTTGGTTTCTTAGTTCTGGTAGTTCTGTCATAACCTTCATTGTTTAGCCTCTCTTTTTCAGGCATTATAAAAGTCAATTTAAATTTAATGTTGACCAGTACATACATAAATCCATTGCTTATGCTCTTTGGTTTTGGCTTTGCAGCTGTTTGTAGACACACAAATGTTTTCAGTATTATCAGACTCTCGTTTGGCAACCTTTGAGCACGAGACGTCATAATTTAGACGCAGAAAAGCAGGCAAGATAGAAAAATATGCTGATGCTCCCTTGTCAAGCTATCAGGCAGTTACTTGCAGTTAGATAGGTCTCTTGGTGTTTGTAGGTAGTACATGGTTAGGTTTACTCTTTTATTCTCACTTTTTCTTTTTTTATGGGTTGGGGGGTTGACAAACAGCTAGATCTGCATAGTTTCTAGCTGCTGCTATTTGGAAAGAAAGGAAAGAAAATCTGTAACATAGTCTCATAGCCCAAGTATAAATATATGCTATTCAGGGAAGTTAAATCCCTATATTCATTTGGAAAATTGTCTGAGCCGCAATCAAGCGCCTGTGGTTCTACCTAATGTAAATGTTATTTATCTATCCAATAAAATTTGGTTTGATCTTTCACATATTGGTGTGTTGTCTTACTGATCGAGGAACACTTTAGGTCATCTTAGTGATTGAATGTAGTGTTATTTGCAATCTTGAAAACTGAGGTTCTTTTCTACACCTGGTTATCAGTTTGACAGAATATGAATATACAGTAACTGCTTCTTCGTTAGCTGCCAATGCCTATGATAATGCTAGTCCAACTCTTTTTTTTTTCTTTTTTTTTTTAAATATATTCCTTAATAATATTTGATTGCCATCCATTACCACTCGAGGGGATGGTCTTCATCATTAACATGATACATCCATCACAATGAAAGTTATTCACTATAGGTCGTAATTATAACGACTACCACGAGCTGTAAAAGTATAATTTATAATACATCTACATTAGAATAAACACGGTATTACTCTTTCTGCATTTAATTAATTGCATCACTTTGACATTGGAATTTTAATGATGAAGAAAAGGAACTTGGTAGAGTTAGTAACAGTGTTTTCAACATTTTTTGAATCATACGACATTTAAGATCATAGCATTCTGGAGAGCAGAGGTTCGTGACTTTATCTTATCAGGAAAATACAAACTAAACTATAATAGGCGGCTCATATCAACTTTATATGCTTTTATTATACCTTCTGCTTTTTCTTCTTCACTCTTACAGCAAATACAACATTAGCTACAAGTCTACAAGGCTGAAAAGTGCAGAAAGACCAACATGTACAATTCAGTAATTCACTATGCTAAGCTTCAGAATGTGAAAATATGTAATCTGTTAATGTGGGAAGTACAGAGCCCTTTTTTTTACCCCTTTTGTTATAAGTGAGCGCCTTGTATTTGCCTTTAAAATCTGGCGATTAATAAAGCTACGCATTTTCACATTCATTTGATGATATAGCACAACACATTAGGTTCATCACTCTTCATCTTCCTTATCAGAATCTGCAAATACAGTCTTGGGCTGGGTCTCAGCGTAAGCTGGAGCAATAAACTTTGGATCTTTTTCTGCAGCATCTGCATACTTCAGTATAGCTTCTCTAGGGTCTTCATCCATCCATGTTTCTTTCAACATACCTCCTTGCTGCAAAGGGAATTCAGGTCAATTCTCAAACAGAAATGTCAAGGACCGAAATAATTTAGACTCATAGAAGCCATCCTTACCTTGAGGAGATATTGCGTTAATAAGCTACCCGAAGATGTACCAGTCCTCCCTCCATGGCCAGGTCCAGTCATAGGGAGCTCTGGTTTGTGGGATTTTACTGGGTCCTTCAGTATCTTCTGTCTCTGACGTTTGCGGCTTGGTTGATCTCTGAACATGGGAAGTGCATGAGGGTTGTGTATAGCTGGCTGCACTTCAAAGTCATCCACTGATTTCATCCTTGGGGCACGAGCAACACACACAAGAGCACCTCTCTCACTCATGTTTGGATCATACAGAACGTGTGTCCCTCCTTGGCTTTTATTTCCAGCAGTAGCGAAAACCTAAACACAAATATTTGAGGTTTAAAGATTATAGTTTTGCTTTTTATAGTGTTTTTTTTTTTTTTTCCTTATCCAAACAAGCTACTCTTCTGTATTATTGTAACAAGGTCAAACTTGATTCTCATAATGCAATTTATATCACACCCTTGGTAATTCCTTCATAATTAATTAAAGTAACAAGTGTGGGAAAGTGAGCATACCTGATTCAGCTTCGGGTGCCAAGCACACTGTACAACACTGCACGATGGAGAAATGCCAACCTTTGACGCTAATTCAAGTTTATCCCTATCATAAAAGCACAGCAACCCTCCAGTAGGGCTATCTCTCTCTACAGATGTACCAGTCAAGATAAGCTGCTCATCCGGACTTAATGCGATGTTTGTTTGAGCATAGTGGTTTTGCAATTCCTCAAACACCTTCAGAGATTGCTTCATTTGACGCAAGTCCCAAACCTGTAGTTTACGATTTGACAAAGTATGAGGATAAGATGAATTAGATATGTAGGTTCGAAAAAGCAGGTAAGCATTCATAAAAACAAGTAAAACTTAAATAACCTTTAGTGTGCCATCAAAACTTCTAGAAAACAGATGACGTTTATCACTTGAAAATCTCAACCCAGTAATATCATCTGAATGAGCGTTCTCAACACGAATATCTGGTCTGCTTCCCCATCCAGGCTTGAGGTTCCATATCTATAGGTTACATAAGCATTAACAATGCTGAAAGAGGAATGTAATTTTATATAGGAAAATTTGTCAAAAATAAGCCAACCTTTACTTGGTTAGCTTAAAATAAGTCAACTTTTCGATTAAATAAAAGTAAGTTGAATTTTAAAGGTATTTACTTTAAATAAGTCAATTGACCTACAACCTATCAAACAGGTCACTTTCTTTTACATTCTTAAATTAAAAATTGTGTAAATTAATTAAATAGTAAAAACACTTAAAAAAAATAAAAATTAACTATCCCTTCTTTTGACCAGCCCCAATCACCATCCCACCCCCACCGACCACCACACGGACCACCTCCTCCACCTCAATACTTTTCTTTCTCTGCCCTCTCGCCAGCCTGCCCTCTCCCAGGCCCTTTCGCTTCTCTCTCCCTGAACCGCAGCTGACCCCTTTTTCTTTCCCCTCCCTAAACGCCGGCATTCGTCGGCCAGACAACTAAACCCACCTGAAATAATCCACTGTACCCACCTTTAATCCTACCCTAACCACCAAAACATCACCATATCTAAGACTAAACCAAACCTTAACCATCGAACCTCACTCCATCCACCCCGAAAAACCCAACACTCACCTAATAAGACCCCACCTTGAAAATTCGAAAACAAAATGGAGTAGAAGAGCAGAAACAGTGGTGGGATGGGAGAGACAAAAAGGGATCTCCGGTGACCGGTAGGTGGGAGGATGATCGGCGGTGACCGGTGGGTGGGAGGAAGATCGGCGGTGGCTCGGCTAAAATGCTGTTGCAGGCGCAGCACAGTGGGGTTGGGGGTTGCTCAGCAGAGGTGGAGGAATTTTTTTAATTTTTTAAAAAATATATTAATTAAAATTTAAATTTAATAATAAAATTTTAAAAATGATCAATTATATTATGACATGTGGCATATTTAACCTAAACAACCGATTAACTCCAAAACTACCAGGTCATGACTCATTTTCGAAAGATATCATATAAAGGTTGACTTATTTTTAGTTAATGAAAAGGTTGGCTTATTTTGAGCTAATCACGCAAAGGTTGACTTATTTTTGACAAATTTTCCTTTTATATATATTATTTATTATTTTTTTTAAAATGCAGCAGCACAACTATGGACTTAAGAAAATGAACAAGCAAGTGACATGTACCTGAATAGATCCATCTCCTATTCCACCAGCAATGCTATTTCCATCACGTTCCCATGCACATGTAGTTACTGGGACTCTCCCAGGCCTTGCGAGCTTTGGCTTAATTACCTATACAACAAGAGGGTTAAAACTGAAATTAGAAGTTTTACAGTTAGAACAAACGGCATTCAAAGCAGCAAAGATAACACTTAACCCAAGGTGATATACATCACTTAACCCAAAAGATTTTGATATCGATACACAAGGTTCTTTGTATCTCACAACCAAGAGGTTGTGGGATCAAACCCCACTAGTGACACTTTTGGGTGGGGATTCCCTTACCCTTCCCCCCCAATTCCAAAGTGCCTAGCCCGTGAACCAGGGACGAGAAGACCTGTGCGAGGTTCTGGCCCGGTAGGGCCCTTCTCCTTGAAAAAAAAAATCTTAAAATACGTTATTATTGTATATTGAGGTAAAATTACATTATAATAGCTTTCAAAAGGAATAAGCCAAAATCGAGTAAATAGGGCCTAGGGGGAATTCTCACTGGTAACCCTTTTCTTTTGACTTTTTTCATTGGAAGTCAATTACTATTTTAATTCTCTTTGGTAGCCCTGAACTAAAAAAAATTCAGGGCTACCAATATCATCACTTTCATCTCTCACCAAAAAATTACACTATTGCGTGCATCGTATCCAACTATCCTTATTTTCCTCTCCCTTACAATATCATCACTTTCATCTCTCACAAAAAAAAAAAAAAAAAACCATATTGAATGATACTACTAGTAAAGTACTACCTAGAAGAGTGATATAAGCGGAGATCGTTTCTTTCCATTTTTTGTCACTGTTGTTGAGGATGTTCTTGCAATCTTGCCTTCTTGAATGACAGTGATCATTCAAATTTACCCTTTTTATTGATTTTGCTTTTGATTTGATTTAATAATAGTTTCAGAGCTTTTGATTTGACTCGTTAAATATAAAAATAAATTACAAGTTCAGACTCAAAAGCCGATGCCAGAATCTAAGGCAACGCCTCCGACTTCTAGGGCTAGATAGAGGAGATAGAGGTGGGTGGTGAGAGTTTAAGGATTGAGGTTTCGAGGAGTGAGAGCTGATTTTGGGGTGGTGGTGGATAAAGTGGTTGGGAGGGTATTAAAGGAAGAAGGGAGGTGAAAATGGTGAGTCAGGTGATGGAACAAGAAAGAGATGACGATGGATGAGGAAATAACGTATTTCTGCTGGAGTAGAGCGAATGTGAAGGTTTGTTAATGGTAGAAAATTTGGGCTTGAGGGGAGAGAGGGGGTAGGGATGAGAATGAGTTAACTATAGTCAGTTACAGTTCAGTTTAACAGACTTTTAACCAAGAAACCACCGTTAATGCCACGATTGAGAAATTTAATAAGTTCAAGGCTACTAAGTACTAACTATAAAAAATGAAAAAAAATGGTCACCAATGTAAAAGGTCAAAAGTAATGAGCTACCAATGAGAATTTCTTAAAAAAAATACAGTATAATTTATCAACGTAAATCATGATTCACAACACTTGAAAAAAATTTAGGCACACAAAGCAAAGTGACAGATAATTGGAAAAGTGGAATAAAAGGCAATTAGGATGATCAAAAAGTTGGAAACCATATTATATTGTATCATGGTTTCTAAAGACTGGAAAATAGTATTTAGCACCCACCCCAACCCCCCCCCCCCCCAAAAAAAAAAAAAAACTAAAACTTTAGCAAGCATTCAAGTAAAACACGTGAATTCACACACACTCACACACCAACACCCACAAAAACACATGAATTCAAGTAAATATTAGCACCTGCTTTAAATAAACACATGAAATCAAGTAAATATTAGAACCTGCTTTTGGGATTTGAAATCATTTACATCCCATACACGAAGTGAACCATCTTCAGATGATGTTAAGACTGTCTCCTTTTTATTTGGGTGCCACTCTCCACAAGTTATACCAGATATGTGACCCTTAGTATTCTTAAGATCACGTATATACATATCACCCTTTACAAACTCGCCAATAGTAAGCCCATCACGGTCATAAATCTGACATAAGAGAATGTATTTTCATTAGAGATATCAGCATATAAGAAACCAATGACCATAAATTTAGAGTAAGCAGAGCAAAGTAAAACCTTAGCTTGAGCAGAGCCGGTAACACACAAAAAGAATCCAGCTGTAGGACTCCAACTCAGTGAGCGAACTTGGTGACCTTCAGATGGTTCCAATTGTCTAAATGAAGCTAAATCTCGTTTCATGCCTTGAAAATCGTACATACGTACTGTATAATCATAACTACCAGAAAGAACTCTTGATCCAGAATGATCAACTGCTAAAGCAGAAACAACCTGCCAACAATTTAATATAGTCCAATTTTATCAATATATGATCTAAACCATAACAATTCTTACTCTGCCAACGGAGAATGAAAAAATCTACAATTGAAGTTGAGTAAAGCCAGCAATAGTTTCATGCTAAAATAGATCCAACTCTAACGACCAGATAGCGGTACAAATCTCATTAAAGCAACCTTCTGCCTTCACCTCTACCTAACAGGCCACCCACACTTATAACTCTTACAATTTCATGCAGCTATAAAAATCAGGCAAATGCATAAAGATTAATTTTCATATACAAAATTGGAAACAAAACCTAAGTACACTTGGAACTTGATGGAACTCTCACCATAAAGCAACCTTTTTTCCTTATCATATTCAAAAGAAACCCACAAAACAACTAAAAATGATGGCAAGATGATTATTCAATATCAATTATTCATGGACTAATTAAAACAGCATTTATCGAAACCCCCTCGGAACACTTAGGCTAAGAGGCGACTACACAACAAACCATTTCTAACCACATTTTCAGCTACAATTATAATCCTCAATCTTTGCCAATAATACCAAACAAGCTTAATTTCACATATAACACAACAAAGTAATCAAAATACAAACCTGCTCATTAATCATCATACTACTATAACAATATGCCAACATTACACAAACTAATATCAATCAAAATATTAATAAAAAACATTAACAAACTAAAATTAAAGAATATAAAATTAGTTCATCCATTACCTTAGTATGTCCCTTCAAAACAATCTCATTACTCAAAGGAATCCCATGTCGAGTACCCTCTTCCTCATCATCATCCTCATCTTCAGTATCCTCATCAAAAGTCCTCCCTTTGAACTCGGCGGGCCGCGGCGGCCCAATCAAATCCCCATCATCATCATCATCAACTGAGCCCACTGACGGCGGAGGCGGCGGCCCAATCAAATCCCCATCATCATCATCATCCTCCTCAATAGTCGGCGGGCGAGGTGGGCCCACTAATTTCTCATCAGACTCAGAATCATGGGGTTTAGGGTTAGGGTTAGGGTTTGGGCGGACAGAATCAATCCAAGCTTTGGAAGAGGAGGATATAGAAGGGAAGGAATCGGCGGCGGGTTTAGCTGCCGGAGATTGTTGATCGGAAGTTGATCGACGAGTAGTGTTGTGAATGGCTTCAAGTGGGGTTTGGGGTTTTGACTTTTTGCCGAATGAAAGGGGAAATTGCGCCCTAATTCCATCGTAAATCTCTGATTCATCCTCCATTGATGAGAGCTTGATTTTTGAATTAGAGATGGGTTGTTATGGAGTACAAATTGTAATATGGTTGTGGTTTATTTTGCCGCCATTAGAGAAGCTTGAAAAAGGAAAGCCAAAATACTTGTGTTTAGAAAAAACGAAAGAATGAAATGTTGGGCCTTTCCGAGTTCGGCCATAATTTTTTTGAGCTGAACTATGGGCACTATAAGTTTACAATGGCTAATCGAGTTAAAGCAGCTTGCGAGTAATTTGAAATTAGCTCAATCTAAACTTTGATTAAAACTTGACATGAGTTGGCTAAATATCAAACTTGGCTTGACTCGACAATTTGACGAACACATGTTGAATAAGCTCTGACGTGACTCAATAAGCTCTTGTGCAACTTGATTATTATTATTATTATTAATTTTTTTTAATATATTGCATTTTGTAAAACAAATGTGTAATCATTTTTCCGATATAAACTTGACATTTTCGATAGCCCGCCATCGTTATTTGATGTCGTACCAACAATCATCGATAATTCCACATCTATCGATTGTTTTGGCCATCGAAAGCTAATTGGCTTAGTCGTTGTATAAGCTTATGCATCCATACTACCTTCATTCCACAATACATGCACCCTTTTGTAACCTACTTTTCAACACCCTACTTTGACCATTAAATTTTGTATACATTAAGTGATACAAACAATTTAATAATTAATATTCTGATATATACATTCAGATCAATCCAACAATATTTTACATATAGATATTTGATTTAGTTTTATATGTTATTAAAAGTATAGTCAAAGTTAGCAAGTGAATACATAGTGCTGCATGTATTGTGAAACGAAGATGTAGTACTCCATGTGTATTTCGGTGGATACTTGTGTTCTTAGGGCTTTTTTTCCCCCTATTATTGCTTTTAAATTATTTCTACAACTTTCTATTTGATTGCAAAGTAGTAAACGAGAAATGGTAGGCTGCCCACCAATTTCTAATTAGCCAGCTAATTTACTAATCAATGTATAATAGGGTGCTTGTATAATATGTATGACAGGTCATAAGAGACATCAACCCAAATTTTTTTCCCTAAAAATGAAAGACCAACAAATAGTACCTATTTCTCTATGTGGCAATTCATCTTTAAAGACTAGATGATGCACATAAAATTGATAAATCAAATGGCAAAAACATCAAAAATTCTTCAAAGCTCAAAACTTTTTGTAGCATTTTTATTCTTATTTATATCAAAACAAGCATTATCTGTAAGAGGATGGGCTATTGGTCCTGCAAAATATGTATTCAGCATTGAAAATGCAATGGACAATGGCATTATGAATGTCCATTGTAATTCAGAGAATGATGATATTGGTCTTGTTCGCCTTCCAGTAAATAGCAATTATACACACGGATTCACGACTCAAATGTTCAAGACGATATCTTTCTTTTGTGAGCTTATGATCCCTAGTCGCGCTTTCAAGGTTTTTGACACATTTAGAGATGTGGTAGAATTTGTGGATAGACAATGTGGAGGAAGACATTGTTTTTGGAAAGCAACCGAGAAAGGTATATACTTGTATCATATTCAAAAACATAAATACTACAAGAAGTTTGAATGGAGTAAGTATCCACCTAATAAGGAGGATCTTAAGAAGCTTGATGAATTTGATGATAATCATATAGATTTTGTTTCATCTTGATTAATGATTTGTATGACATGAGACTCTATCTATCTTCAAGCTAATTAACATGATGTTAATTATGTCATGTGTGTATCAATACAAGCATCAAGCCAGCAATTGTAAAACCTTGAAAGTTTAGAGGAATAATGCTTAGGTTTGTGATCCAAAATCAAATTAAGATGAATAATTTATGAGTTACTATTTCAATTGAGGCTTTTTTTTTTTTAAATATGAATCTACATATAGCCTTTTTTTGGTTTATATGTGTAATATGGTTTGCCACTTATTTTTTTTATTCAAAGAATAAAAATGCATTTTATGATCAATTAAAATACTCGGCAATATATTCATGAAAAAGAGAAACATTAAATTCTGAATGCAAAATGCAGTTCTACAAACTTTTCCTCATCTTATGTATATCAGCTTTTTTTTTTTATTTTTTTATTTTTTTTTTGTTGAAATATCAATGCTTTTTTCTCTTTACTTCTCTCTACTTTTTTTTTTGGTTCAAAAAAATAATAAAAAATACTATATCAATTTTACATCATTTTTACTTATTGATTATAAGGGAATAAATGATTTAAAGTATTTTATTGCAAGTGTGAAATGAAAATGGATGCAAGTAAAAAAAATAAACAAATATTGATTTTCATGTCACAAGTAATAGTAGTTATGAGGTGGACAAAAATGGTGAATATATTAAAAAAAATCATTTGATGAACTTATATACTTGCTCAATTCTTCTTTTTACTTGAAATAATAATTATCTAACTTTTGCACTATTCACATCATCTCTTTTAAACGTCTTTGATAAATTATTATATATATGCAAAATGTTTGTGGGATTATGTTAGAATTATCTCATATTATAACAATATCCTATATTTATGATTTTAACTTATTAAGAATTAAAAATATTGATGGTTAAAATTATTTGTTGGTAAACATGCATGATGAATAAAATAGGTCAAGTAAAAAAGTACGGAAAAAGTATGTTATACTAGGTTGATGAAAAGATAGTCAAAGTATATGGTGGAAAATATACATGATGGTGAAGAGTCTCATAGTACTATATTGGTTAATATTAAATTGGAGTAGAATTTTCAACAAGATTGTCGAAGTGTGAAATAGATTTAGTTAATCTACCTTCTTGTGGGGAAAGGGAGAAAATTTATGGCGAATCGACGCGATTAGGTCGTGTTCCACAATACATCAATGAAAAATTGAAAAGTAGGCGTCTCATGAAAATGATATACATTTTTTTTTTGTTACGAAAGAAAAATGATATATTTATTTAGAAAAAATGAAAAGAAATAATCCCATCTTTATCAATTCTACTTAAAATAATTCTACCTTTGATTAATCTAGAAATAATCTCACCTCGCAAAATCCCACCCAACCCCATGCCTTTTCACCTCGATCGCAAAAAACCCCACTTGACCCCGACTGCCTCCCACCTGACCCTCCTAAACCGAAACGAAGCCGCTTGAATGGAGAAAAGCTTACATCCATCTTTTAAGGTAGAATAATTGAGTACGCTTCAATGGAAGAAAAGGGAGGACGAAAATGAGAATTGGAAATGGATGGGGGTTGTTCATGCCGCTGGGGAAGTGGGGCTAGCCATGACAGAGGGGAGTAGTTCAGGGAAGGGGGAAGGCTGAAAAGGCGATAATGTTTTTTAAAAAAATTTAGTAAAAAATAAGGACCAATTAGAAGGTGACATGTGGACAAATCAACTAACTATACATTGCCTACAATAGCCTCGCTCTCTAACTGACTATACATTAAACTCAACTGTCATTTATTGCTTCCATAGTAGGGTTGAAAAGTTTTGCTATACTAGCATATATAATATGGACATAATGTTGATTTCATACTCCCTTAACCCCTAAACAGTTCTTCCCATCTAAACTGCGGCGCTTATTAATGTATTATTATGACCATAAATTTCTTTAGTAACATATTGGTAAAAAAAATTACAGTTGACTATTAATAAATTATTCATTGAAAATAATTTATAAGGCTCAGCATGACTATGCTATACAATAACATATATGTTTAATATATTGACAATTCTCGAATTTATAATATATAGTGTTAAGATTCAAATTATAAGAACAAAAAGGAATGGGTGAAATATTATTTTAGAATCCAATCTATTGAAATCATCTTCTTTTTGTTGAACATGGCCGGAATTATTTTACATGAATTAACTTATTTTGATAAATTTCAATTAAAAATAATTTTTACTACTGATTCTAATTTTTACCGTTTAAGCTTATTTTATTTTAGTGATTTCTTTCATTATCCGTCTTTGAAGCTTTTGATCTTTATTGATTCTAAATGATTTTTATTTGAAGTAATCAAGCTATATATTTACATTACTCCCTCCGTCCTTAAATTAGATGTCTATTTTTCTTTATTATGTGAGTAATAAATATTAAAAATAGACTTTTAATAAATATTAATTAAAACTTGTTTTGCTTTGTTAACTTATAATAACTTTGTAAATTAATTCTATTTAATATGTTACGGAGTATTATGCTTTAGTTGAAAAAAACAAAGTCTTGCATGATATGTATGCCATGTGTGAACAGTAGTACAAAACGTCACCATATCCTGGTTTCCCATTTAAAGTCCTTGCTTAAATCAAAGCCTTAACCACTATAAATAGCTCTACCTATGCTCAAGTTGTTATATCATTAAATCAAAGAAATCCACAACCAAAAACAAAAAATCAATTCAACAATGTCATTATTAAAACTAATAATAGCCGTGATACTAACTTTAGGAGTCACAAATCAGCCATTTGTAAATTCTTGGGGTTTTTTCCTTCCAGTAGATTATTGGGTGGTAATACAAAATGAATTAAGTAGCGATGTTATGGATGTACAATGCGCTGGAGGTGGTAAGAAATTTCAAGATTTAGGGCTTCAACATGTCCCAGTGAAGAGTAATTTCACGTTTACATTCAAAAGTGAAACGTGGAAAGTTGTTAGCTATATATGTAACATGACAAGCCCTAGCAAGGGTGGGATAAGTATTGTAGCATTTGAAGACGATCAATCTTTTGTCGATAAATATTGTGGTGGGCGTCATTGTATCTGGAAAGGGGCCGAGGATGGAATATCCTTGTATCACGATAAGAAAAAGAGATACAGGTTTATGTGGCCATGGCAAAACCATACTATTGTTTAAAATCGTCTTAATTTGTCTATTCGATGGGTACGTAATCTACATGCCCAAAATCAGTAGACATGCAGCAATTATAAGTGGTAACCAACTCAACAACTTTATTTCTATTTTGCCAAAATATATATCTTAATAAATAAAAATCGGCAATGTAAGCAATTTATATATCTTGTGCATTAGTATGGGGTATGTTCTAGTTTATATTAATCATCGAATCTATTTCGAAGTAACTCTGGAGTCATATCCTTCTCCTTGAGTTTTAGTATTTTGTTATGGTTTCTAACTGGTCTAGCTTGTACTCGATCTAATATTAATAAACTGAAGTATTTTCTAATTAAGATGTGGATCATGTGGTGCGATTTTACTATATGATGCCATCTTTCAATTCTCTTTAAGTTGTTGCATTTTTTTTTTCTATACGGTAAATTTAAAAAGTTTTTATTAATTTATATAATTAACTATCAAACATAGAGAAAAATTGTCTGAGATATAATCTAAGTTAAGTTTAATATATACACTCAGTTTTAAAGGTTGTAAGAAGAACATACAACATACGGAGTATTGAATTTCATAAAGCATGTACATTATTGAGCAAGTCTAAAAATTCTTTAATAGGGTAGGGTTGAAACTTGAAAGAGTACTTTTTAAAACCTGTGGAATACATTTCTTTTCTACTAACTCATTATGTTAATGAAGATTTTCTTAATTAGAAATTCTAATCCTTTTTTGCCCTTTGGGGTGTTTTTTCAAAAAAAAATAAAAAAAAAAATTCTGATCCTTTTGTAGTATTATCTTTTTTTTTTTGACAACAACTTATAGTATCTCTAAATTTATAAAACATCTTATATGAACTCATCAGGGGTACTAATAACATAACAATTTAAGTTGCATTTAATTACAAGCTAGCATTTAATTTGGTACTCCCTCTGTTTTTTTTAGTGTCATACTTTAATCAGCATATAGTTTTTTTTAAGGAATAGACGAGGATCGATCGAATTAGGTTATGTGTTTGATATGCACGGAACATAGACAACAATATATAAAACGTAAAATAAGTAGAAAATAGATGAGATAAAGAAGAGCGACAAGGTTCAGATATACGTGGTTCAGTCAACATGACCTACGTCACAAGGTAGGGGATAATATTTTCTTATTAATTAGCTTTCATGGAGGATAAACAAGAGAGATAGGAAATACAACACTCTCCATCTCACAAAATCTCTCAAGTGGAGTTACATAACGGCTTGAATTGGCTAGGCTAATCAATATGAGCACTTCTAATTGTCCCCCCAATGGCTCTTTATATAACATAAGAAAACCTTAAAGAAATCCTAAATTAGCTAATTAAAACTAAAATAGGTCATGCTTACATTGATCATTTTGGACATATATGTATGTCAAGCTATCATTCAAAAATTTCCCGCCAATGTGATATATGATGTTAGCTATAAGTCTTTATTTATTTATTTATTTTAAATTTAGTCTACTTAGCTTATTTTTTGGAAGTACATTTGATATTTTATCTTTGAACAAAATTAATATAATCATTAATTAAAAAAATCATATATACGACATCTACATTATATAGTTTTATTGGGAATAACTTGCATAATTAATGTAATATAATGTATATTATTTTTAAATATTTTCAACACAACTATTCAACAATAATATTTTTTTTTGTCAATTGTGGTATAATAATTTTTGCCTTATTATTTCATCTTTCTTATATGCATTGCATTTGTTTATTCCACACGAGTTTTCTCATTTTTATATTATATCACATATTAATTATGAGAAAAGATTATTACACTAATCTAGTTTTATTAAAAAGTAAAGTTGTTTGAAAGAAAGTGGGAACTATTGGAGGAGTGAGAAATAATAAAGTAAAAATGAGTGGGGCCATTAATGGGTAAATATATACTCCCTCTGTGTTTAAATTAATAAAATGTTTTGACTTTTTGCATTGTTCATCTAATTGACTTTAATTAATTTTTATCATTTATACCTAAAAATAAATATAGTCATGTGCGTACTTATTGGAATCGTCTCAATGATTAGTTCATTAATATTCAATTGTTATAATTTTTGAAAATTAAAGATATTTTCATTCAAAGTTTTATTTTGCATTGACATACGTGCACAAGGGAGAAACGTTACATTTTGTAAAACACGGAGAGAGTATTATAAAATTGTACTCCCTCCGTCCCCTAATACAAAGCCTCATTTCCTTTTTGGGTAAACCAAAATACAATGCCTCTTTCTATTTAAAGGTTGTATTTTTTGACATTATTACCCTCTTTTTGATGAGTTGTCATCTTTTTTCCCTTACTTTTTTGTGCTTTAAAAATCAATTTCCAACACTTTCTCTATCTATCTATTTAATTATTCCCAAATCCCAACTAGTTTTTCCTTCTCTCTATCTCTCTCTAACCCCACATGCACATATGTATTTTTAATCATTAGTTTTAAAGAATTTACAACTTTTTTAATTCCCGCGCAAAAACCAAAAGAGACTTTGTATTAGGGCACGAAGGGAGAATAGATTTTCAATTCAAAAGAGAAAGTGTAGGAAAACCGAATCGTCTGACTGATCAATCGCGATGAGGGGATGGCGCAGAGGTGTTAAAGGCATGACAAACCATATCTTTCACTTTCTTACACAATGTAAGATCACAAAGACTTCGAAAATACTTACGAGCAGTAGATGTCACAGTCGGACCAATAGGTCCAAGAAACTTGATGACAAGACATTTTTGCATGAGCAGCATCAACGATAAGCACATTACCAAAGTGTAGATAGCAATCCAGGGCTTAACATGGATGGTTGTAGCATACACTCCTGCCATGAAAGACACAAGAGTTGTGTAGAATGATATTAAGAGCAATAAGATGCTAAAATCCATTAATATCACCGATGTGCGTTTGCTTCCGGTAGCGAAGATCCAAAGAAGACAAAACAAGATCATTGTTGAGAGGCACATCGTTAATATGTCAAAGAACATAAAGGCTTGGAAAGCTACCGATTTTACAAGAAGTGGAGTCCCAACAGCATGTTTATCTTTGACATCTATATCATCTTGGACTGCTCCACCTGGAACGGTGAATGCTGCTGTGAAAGTTATTGTTGTCAAAAGTGCTGCTATCACACCCATCGTGTTCACATAGTCTTTCATCTCTTCCGTAGAAATTCCATACACACTTCGGAAACCCATCAACTCGAATGGATCCTCATTTAAAAGCTTTTCCAACTGCATTAAATGTACGTAATTTATCCAAGTTATTCTTTTAAATGATCAAAGTGATAAGTATACTTCTACGTATTATATAGGCGAAGGGAGAGGTTGTGGTGTCCACATAAAAATATTCTAAAATCCCTTTCCTTCAAATATATAAAAGATATAATTGAAAAAAATAAATTAATCAACAACAAAAATGAAAACATCAATCAATCAATAAGAATAAATATACATAAATAAAAGTACCAATTAATTAATTAAATTAAGTCAGAAAAAAAAAACTAATAGAATACTTCATTTAATTTATGTCCTTCAATACAATTCAATCAACCAATATAATTAATACACAAAAAATTAATAATAAAAAGTTTTCAATTAATCAAATTCATTATATCTATGCTCTTTATTTTAAATTTAGTCCAAAAACAATTATTTAAACCATAATCACTTGCTACCATTTTAGTTAAGGTACGAAGCTTAAATACCCATCTTCACTCTTTTATGTATATCCGCAAATTAATATTTTTTTCAATTAAAATTATATTTGATAGTTGAAATAAATAAATTTTTAATCATATCGATCACACACAATACGTGCATATAGTGCTAAATAAAGTTAAGAATAATTGCAAGTATTATGCATATTTCATATACAATGTGGAAAACTCTTTAACACACAAGGCGGTCTGCCCGTCTAAAATAGTACGAGTAATTTTAGTTCTATAATATCGTAGGAAAGGGTAAGACTGAACTTATTAGTTTTTTTGACACCATAGTACCTACCACCCTTGAAATCCAAAACTAAGTAAATTAGTTGATCACACCGATAGGCTAAAACAACATACAGTACAATATAGATTTACTTACATCTTGAGGAAGATCTGAAATAGATGTAAGGATTAAAGTGTTCAACTAACTTGCAATCAACCCACAATAGCAATGAACAAACAAGCATAACAATCAAGAACAACTTTGAAGGAATTAAAGCAAGTAAAAGGAAGACAATGTTACCGTGGGAAAACCCGAGAACCGGGAGAAAAAACCCACCCTTGCACTATGGAGTAATATTGATGATGAATGAACTCAAGAATTACAAGCATGAATTGTATAGAATTCAAATGCTCCTCACAAACCCTCTCAAAACCTCTCTATGTGTTTAAATGTTTGTGAATACTCAACAAAGAGACTTAGAAAAGGTATATATAGTCTAGGTAGAAAATACAATCCAACGGCTAAGATTAAAGCAAATCGCACAAGCCGAAAACGAAGCGACGAAATAGGGAGCAGGGAGGTTCGGCCGAACCTACCCAGAGTTCGGTCGAACCTAGGGTGGTTCGGTCGAACCTCCTTGGGTTTGGTCACTCCTCCTCTAGAAATGAAAACTGGTGCACCTACTGACTTAAAACCGGGTTCGACCGAACTTTTCACAAGTTTGGTCGAACCTTAACAATAAGGCAATTTCTATGCAATCTCCTTATGTCTCCATGTATTTATCTATCTCCACACTAATCCTAACAATAGATGCTAATCGATCGCCAGAAGTGATACCATCTCCGTCTTTTATTTCTAGAAGATCTTTCATCCATTTCAATTTTTGTGCAGGCAACCATTCATCACCTGAACAATCGAGAAAAAGACGTGCATGGGTAAAGCATCGAGATTCAAGCGCCAGATGTAATGGCGTTTTCCCATCATTGTCTCTGATTTTCAACAGATCTATCAAATGATCTTTTTTTCCAATGTCATGAACGAATTTCTCTGTCTTGGATGATGGTTGATTCACCAACATGTGGCAGAGTGTCTGGCCATTATTGTCAACGATTTTCGACGCTTCTTGGTTAAGATCATCCAATGTCTTAACAGTATCGATGTGACCAACTTGAGCCGCTCTCATGATCGGGGTAAGTCCATCCTGGTCTTGGCTGCTCGCCGCCTCTTTATTTACATCTTGCACTTCCTCTATCGCATCTCGCGGCCACTCAACTGAATCCAACTTGTTTGATTAGGCCCCAAATGCAAAATAATAAACATATACTCTAATTAATTAATGAATAAGAAGTAAATAAATCAAATATAAATTTTAATATGTTATGGAGGCATTTTTGAGATATTTTTAGAGCATAAAACCATCAATTTTGAACTATATTAGCCCTAGGTTTTAAGACTTTAGATGACATTTATAATGAGTAACAGAGATTTACTCATTTATAATCAATTTCTAATTTTGTGGTCTTAAGATAAGACCTTTTATTTATTTATTTTTAATGCATTTATGAAGATTGGTTTTAACAAAATTTAAAGTGGAGTCTTGAAAAATTCAAGACTCAACTTAACACTCAATTAACCCTTTTTTTTAAAAATTATTTTTTTAAAAACATTAATAATTTGATTTATATATATATATGAAAACTTACCCAAAGAGCTTCCTACTAGAAGATGGAGAAGTGTTTCTTTACGTTTGTTAGTCAATCCAAAAGCTGTTCTGCTATCTGACTCATATAAGATTATTAATAACAAAGCAGGTAGAATATGATTTGCTTTGAGTGCTTCATGAAGGGGTGTATTTCCTTCCATGTTCTGTACCAACAATGGTGAATCATACTTGAAATGGCAACGACCCTCTTCTTTTGTTTCTCCGGCATTGGCTTCACCTTCATCTCTAGCACTTCCAAAGTATAACACACATGTTAGTAGTAACTCAAATGGAAGAGATGATTTAGTCAATGATGTATATGTAACATCAGAATTTAAAGATTGCGTAGTGCTACGATAAATCTTTGTATCATGAGGATTTTGCATGAGGATATGAATTGGAGTGTCCCCGTTAATGTCTGTTTGACCACTAAGTATTGGATGCGTATTAACAACCTGTAAAATGAAATCCAAATATTCATCATATTCTATAGGAGTTCTTCGTTCTAATCGCATCAAGTTATGAAGCACATTTCTTCTCTTGGAATCTCGTGAGGACAAAAAATATATTCCAAACTTTGATATTTTCTCTTTTATAAACTGGATATTTACCCCCTCCAGTACTCCATATTCTTCCAATGTCCTCTTCTTCGTCTTTTTCATCTGCATTATACAAATTATCACCAGTCCATGCAATTTCAATATAGACTAATAATTCGTCAATAAGGTCTCGTTCACTTCACCTTATTTTTGTTGAACTGAAATTATTTTTATTGAATTGATATTATTTTTGCTGAATTAAAATTATTTTTACTGATTTTTTATATATTTCTTCTTTAAAGTTACTGGATTTTTGCTGAATTAAAATTATTTTTACTAGATTGAAATTATTTTTACTTAATATTATTTTTGTAAGGTGAAGTGAACAAGGCCTTTTTTTTTTTTTTTTTTTTTTTTCCCTAAGAAAAACAAAAATATAAGCTCTAATAATTTTATTTTTTTATCAAAACAATTATATGTAGTACCAATGATACATGGAGTGATTAAAAAAAAAAAAAAAAACTCATTTTTATTAGGAAGAAAAAAAAAAGGAGTATTTGCAATGTTGAAACAGTAATAATACGGGTACTCGAAAAAGCTATCGAACCTGATCAAAATCAATTGGTTGGTGAGCGTGAGATGTTGAAGTAGTGGAGGAATGGAATAGAAGCCGCGCCATTTTAAAGTTGGATATCCAAGCTAAATCTAATGGTGTTTTTCCTTGGTTATCCTTGACATCTTAAGACCACCAATTTCTGGAATTTGCAACAGTTCTTTGGCTTGTTGGTAGCTGTATACCCTATTTATCAAAAAATGTAAGATGGTTTTGCCAGAATTTTTGTCAACCTTCTGGGCAGCATTCAAGTATCATTTTAATGACACTCACATAAATACGATTGTCGAGGAAAGCAGCTCTATGCAGCGGGGTCAAACCTCCTTCGTCATGCCAACATGCCACCCCACTGTCTTTTTTTACCAGCTTTTCTATCAAATCCTTATCTATAAGTTGAAAATAACCAATACTGATTGGCAGGTCAAACTTGTAATTCAAAAAAGCAACCTGATAGGGAAAGTTTCCATCTGAATTTCTGACATTAAACTTCTCACTTTCATCAAATTCATAGAGCAGCATGAAAATGCGTTTGTTGCCAACCGCAGCTGCAACATGAAAAAGGGTATCACCGTGGTTGTTCCTTTGATTTATCAGCTTATCAATTATTGATGTAGGCAACAGCATCTTTGTAACTTGTTCTATAAATTCATATTGATCTGATCTGATTGCTATGTGAAGGATATTGTCTCCACTAGAGTCGTTTCGCCCCACAAAATAATTGCCATTTTCTATTTCTTTGTTTCGTGCTTCCTTAAGGAACCGTACATCTCCATTCTTTGCGGCATTCTCAAGGTGCACCTCCAAGGAGTATTTTGGATTGTTCTTGTCTTGCATATTTAGTTGTACTTTCCCTTGAAAAAAAAAAACCAACTATTAGCCTATCATCCCTCTTTTCTATTAGATAGCAAGGCCAAACAACTAGTTGTTTCAGCAATAGTGTCACCTTAAAAAATCTACCGTAATAGTGTCAACGTGACACAAAGGTCACAAATTTAAATTTTGTTGAGTTGGTTGAATCCCAAGATTGGTTTATATAATCTATTACGCCCCTTTACATAAGATGATGGTTGAGGCACATGAATATGTTTTACACTCTATCACCATGTAATTTAATTAGACCAAATGAAGCATATGTTCAATTGTTAATTATGACTTAAAATCTAGTGTAATGGCAAAGGGCCAACTTCAAACACACATGTCTCTCATTCCGGAAGTGATCTTGAGGTGATTCAAGTTATAGGTGATAGCTTGTTTCAAGAGTTTTCCAACGATAGGCCATATGCCCAATTCTGATTCGAAATTCAACGAGAAAGTTTTGGCTGTTTTATGAAGGATTGTCGAAGCTGGTGAAAGGACACTGATGTGCCCTACATAGCACGTCCGTGCCTAGTCAAGTGAAGGCGTTTTGCTTCCTATTTTCGGGTACGCTTATGAAGGCTACTAATGCTCACTATAAGAAATAGGCCGATTTGCGACAGATAGATTTCGACGGACACATATTTCCGTCTTCATTTCTCTCTCTCTACTTCTCCTTTGTTTCTCTTTCTCTCTACTCTTCTCTTGCTCTTACTCTTATCTTTCTCTCCGCCCCTTCTATTTTTCTTTCCTCCTCCTTTTCTTTCTCTCCGCCCCTTTTGTTTCTCTTTCTCTCCGCCTCTTTTCTTCTCAAGATCCGTCCATCTTCTCTTTCCTCATTTCTCTTCTCTTTCTCAATGTTTTTCGACGAGTGGTGTGACGGTGATGTTTTTTTTAATGCGTTAGAAATTAATGGTTTTTTACGTCAAATTCGACCATGAAAAGTCTAGACATCGAATTTGGCCTATTTAAACCAAATTCAAGAATTTAAAGCCAATTTAAGTTATTAAGGTATGTTTTTCGAGTCTTTAATTTTTTTTTTGTGTGTTTTTTTTTATTTTTTATTTTGGGTTGTGGCGTCGTGGTGGGTGTGGATGTGGTGCCTGGTGCCGTGGTGTTTGTGGTTTTTTTTTTTTTTTTTTTTTTTTTGTGGGCATCTGGTAGCTGGTAGTGGTGTTTTGCATTTTTTTTTTTATTTTTTTTTTGCCATAGTGGGTTGGTTTTTGCCCTATTCCATTGGGCGCATAGTTTTAGGAAAAAATAAAATAATATATGAGTAGGTGTGACAATGAATAAATTTTTTAGAAAAGTGAATAAATGAATAATGTGAGAGGGATAAATTTTATATTGCATAAAATAATAAGAGAGAGTTGACAACTGAAAAGGAAAGAAAATATTTGTTGCACATAATAAGTAGCAACAATTTTTATTAAATGTTGCACATAATATGAAACTGAGGTTATAGAAAACATTTAGTTACAACATACACGTTATCAATACTCCCTCTGTATTTCAATAAGTGTTACAATTTGACGGACACATAGTTTTAGGCAATATAATTTACTAAAATAAAATAAGAGGTAAGTGGGGTAGTTAAAGTATTAAAAAATTATAAAATAAAGATAGATGGGTTAATAATTTATTGAAAAGTAATGAATGTGAGAGGAAATATATAATAAAAAAAAGTAGTAGTGGGTTTAGGTGGAACTATGAGAAGAAAGAGATATAATATTTAAATGTAGTTTTTTTTACCAAAAAAGAATGTGTAACACTTATTAAAATATGACTGGATAAAAACACAGAGGGAGTATCTTATCTTAGGAATGTCTAAAAAAAAAAAAAAAAACCATTTTATGTAATTCAATTTTATATGATTCTGGGTATAGATATTTGCACCATAGCTAACTCCATATTGTAATTGTAATCCCATTTTTCACTATTTAATTGACTTAACTTTTTTTTTTTTTAGAAAATTAATTGACTTAACTTTTGACTAATTTGTAGGCAAATTCAATAACTTTTTTATTTGATTGCGTGATACTCGCGTTTTCGACTTTTTACCAATATATAACACTATTAGAAAACGGGCCATTTTTGACGGAAAAATTTCGTCGGAAACATCCTGTTTCCGTCAGAACTGGTTGTCGGAAACGCTTTTGTAGGAAAAACGACCTTTTCTGACGGAATTTCCGTCAGAAGCACTTTTCCAACGGTATTTCCGACAGAATTCAGTCGCCGGAAGAGATTTTCTGGCCCAGAAAAGTTCGTCCGAAATTTTTGACGGATAGTATTCCGCCGGAAAATTCCATCGGAAAATGCTGTAAAAAAAAAATAAAAAAAAAAAAAAAAAAAAAAAACACCACACCACCACCGCCCTAGAGTATCACCACCTCCAACCACCACAACCCAGTGCCCAAATGCCCAAAAAACCCTTGAAAACCCGTAACCCATGCCACCTAACCCTAACCCTAACCCACCCAAAGCCCTAATTACCACCAAAACCCAACTAAACCAAAGATCTACAACCCTATCCCTAACCAGATTTACAACCCCAAACCCACCTAAACAAAACCCAGATCTACAACCCTAACCAATCCGGCCAAACAACCCAACATAAGCGAAACACCCCACCACCCACCCTAACTGAACCAGACACACCACCCACCTAAACCATCCACCACGACCAGCGAAAACCACAACCACAACCCAAAAATTAACCAAAAAAAAAGAAAATTAAAACAAGAAAACATACCTTTAAAACCGAAATTGGCTTTAAATTTCACCTCAAACTTGGTTAATAAGGCCAAATTCGACCAAAAAAAACTCTATATCTAGAGTTTTTTTTGGTCGAAATTGATCTTAACAACCTTAAAAATTGAAATGGTGTAGAAGGCAGAGCTAGGAGGCAGCGGGAGTGGTGGCGGGGCAGCGGGCGTGGCGGTAGGGCAGCGGCGATGGAGAATGAGAGAAAGAGAAAAGGAGGAGGACAAGAAAAAGATCGAGAAAAAGAGGAGAAATGAGGAGAAGCAAAAGAGAGAAAAAATGAGGTGAAGGAGAAGAACAAGATCGATAAGAGAAAAGGAGAAGAGCAGGAGGAAGGAGAAAAGAAATGAGGAGAAGAGAGAGAATGAGAGGATCGGAGAGAGAAGAAACTGAAATGAAAGTAAAAGGGGGCGGCTGATGCTATAGGGTTTTGAGTTTTTTTTTTAAATGTTAAATCTGTCGGATTCGTTAAAAATCCGTCGAAAATTATTTGTTTTTCGACGGAATGTCTGTCGGAAATTAAGTTTTTCCGACATATTTAAATTCCGTCGGAAATTTCCGACAGACTTTAAATTCATCGGAAATTCTCACTTATCCGACGGATTTTCGTGTCCGTCGGAACATATCTGTCGGATATTGAGCTTTTTCTTGTAGTGTAATAAATACATGTTGTCATGTAATTTTTATTTTTTTTGGAATAGTCCTTAAGTATATATTTTCATTAAACTTATTATACTTCTTAATAATATACAATTACAACTATTAATGGTCAAAGTTGTGCAATGACATGTGTATCAGTCAAAGTTGTTGCGATTATTATAAAATTGATGGAGTAATTGATACAAAGGTACATTAGAGTTATTGGGTATTAGGACTTATTTTTTATTAGAGTTATTGATTTTTTTGAAAATAACTACCTACTATTCTTCTAATTTTAATACTAACCACCAACAATTATTATTTTGAATTTTACACCAACTATTTTCAAGAACATTAAATCCTTCCACTAGATTGCGCAAAGCCTTTTATATGACGTCATTGTGGACGACCTTACCGGCGGTTTTTTTTTTTTTTTTTTTTTAATTTTTTCTTTTATCTACCCTATATTCTTTGGTTTCTTGATTATAAATCCAAATTATACAATTACAACACAACATTAGGTACCTAATTTATACAATTGGGGCTAAATATATGATAGTGTTAAGTTCCCTACATTTAGGGGTTTTAAATGAAATAGGGGATTTGTTATTTAGTGATTAATTTACAAAATTGGGACTAATTTGCATCAATTTCATTTATTATGCCTTCAATTAGTACCAAAGTTGATATTATTGTTTAAAAATTGTGCTTAATTATTATTATTATGAAGAATTAGTGTTCATATGTATTTTGGGGGTTTTCCTAAATTCAATCGTTTTTCTAAATTATGACTTATATTCCTAAATTAAGCATATATATTGGTTCAATATAAAATTAATTAACGTAAATAATGATTAATTTAGAAATTTATATCAATTTGAGTTATATTTGTTCAATATAAAATGTACGACAAATTATATTAGTGAGAGCAGAGACATCGAGTAGTTACCAAAAATTGGAAATTTGATAATTGCAAGATGAAGAGGCGTCTCCATGGATTTATTGGTGACACGAGCAAGCTCAGGATCCTCCTTCAGCAACAATGTAGCAGTCTCATTCCAATTGTAATTGATAATTGCAACATGTAACGGCGTGTTGCCTTCTTTATTCTGCACCCTCAATGTCGGTTGCCATTGTACATCTTCATCAATGAACACCTTGAAAAAGTCCACGGCGTCCACCTCTGCGGCAACATGAAGAGGGGTGTTCCCATCATTGTTGGTGACACCAGCCACCTCAGGTTGCTGCTTCACCAACCATTCAGCAGCCTTAATCTTGCGTTTGATAAGTGCAACATGCAACGGCGTGTTTCCTTCTTTATTCTGGATACTCCAATCCAGCGGCTTCGTCTCCATGTTGGCCTCCTGCTGCCCCTTTCCATATTCAAGGAGCAGCTCGAATGCCTCGATGTGGCCTTCCTCTGCCGCTGCATGAAGAGGGGTATTCTCGTCATTGTCCCGCTGATTAATCAGCTTATCAGTTACTACAAATACTTTCTTAATAAACTCATATTGCCGATATTTGATTGCAATGTGAAGAATATTGTACTTATCAGATGAGGTTTGCCTCAAAAAGTAGCCTTCACCATTTTCTATCTCTTTGTTTCGTGCTTCCTCCAAGAAGCCTACATCGCCATCCATAGCGGCTGTGAAAAGCTTCCGCCTATCAATCACCAAGGAGTCTTCCATGGATGACATGATTAATTATCAGTTTAAAATTGTTTGTTTGGTTTTTTTGAGGGGGAAAAAAAAAGCAATTTAAAATGGTTAATTAATAAATTGGTTTCTTCTTCGCATCCTTATATATACTACTAGCTTAGCTTGCTGGGGATCTTAGCTTGCTCATATTCTTTACGTAATGATCGAGTAAGATATGTTTCTTTTTAAAGGAAGATTGTAAGAATTCCTTTTAACAAATTAGTTTGTAACTTTATTTTATTCCTTACTATAATCTACTTTTCATTTTTCTTTTATATATTTTCATCAATTACGTTTTTTTATAACTCTACATATTAATTCAATATCATCTATAATATATGGTGTTGATAAGGTTTACTTTAAATATCAACTAGTATTTTGGCCTGTTTGATGCACAGGTTGTTACATACTTAGGTTATTTTTGTACGTAGGTATGCTTTTCAATAGTTGAAACTTTTGATATAAAATACGAAGTAATTATTTCATGACCATTACAGTGTATGAAGTTCACTGTTAAAACTTTAAAGAAATAGAGAGTGAGGGTGGAACTGTAGAAGAAGAGGAAGGAAATTAGTTAGGTACATATACATATATATATTGTGGGATATGAAATGACATATTGATTTTAGTTATATTTCAAGTTTAGGAGATGAAAAGAGTATTTTTTATTGTATTTCAGATGTTTATTAATTGTGTACTAATTAGTTTAGCTTCATTTTATTATGGTGGAAATAAAACACTTTATCTTCTTACTTAAATTTGCTAGTTATAAAGGGTTTACAAAAAGGAAAGATTAAAAGAGGTGACATATGGCATATGAGTGATTTTTGGTGCCATGTAGCATAGGAGTGATTTGTGGTGCCATGTAGCATAGAAGTGATTTGTGGTTCGTGTTTTTAAATACTAAGTATAGATATAGATAAATGATTTGTGTTTTTAAATACTAAGTATAGATATATTTCCTTCCTTCTCCATCAATATAATCCCTATTTATCATGCCAAAGAAAATCTAGATGATGCAAGAGTTAGATTTTTTTTTTTTCATAAAGGGTTTTATTTCTCTCTCTTTACTTATTAAATAATTGTGTCATGTGTACAACTTTAGACAATTTCTAAATGATTTTCTTCTTACCTTAAATGAAAATTTCCCTTTACCTTAAGTAACTCCAATGGTTATAGATAAGGACTTGTAATATTAAAAAATCCCTAAGCTAGTTACTACCTTGATTGTAAAGCGTTAGCTAAAAAGTAAAATTAGCTTGCCTAAAGTAATTGCTTGAGAAAAAGTTTTCAAAACATAAGAGAATTGTATATTAATATTATGTAATTTTAAAAAAGTAATTGAGAAAATCAAGTGAGCTCGGTCATTTAAATAATAATCTACTAGCCTGTTGGGCCTGTTGGGGCACAAACTAGTTATAGAAAAGGGTTAGCTTGAAATCCTTTGTGGCATGACAAACTAATTAGGTATTAGTTTACCATTAAAGATGCTAATTAAAGTATTCAACCAAGTAATGTGGGATCCTTCACTAAATCATTCTTTATCCTAAATTTATTTTTTTCATTCTTATATTTCTATTATCGACCAAGAAACTTATCACCATATATACCATCTAAATTTACAGTGTGTTCTATTCAACTAAATTTCCCTTATTTAAATTTATCTTATTATCTAAACTTACATGAATTAAATTGAATTTGTTAGACTCAATATTTTAGTTGTAATTTGAAAGTGGGTAATTCTTATCAGCTCTTATCAAAACTTATTTTATTTTAACTTATGAAAACTGAAATAAGGTAAAAAGGACAGGGTCTAAATATATATGCCCAAGCATAAAAGAACAATGATATGAGGACGAATGTAGGGCTATCTATTCATTGTTTGGTTTCCAATCCAAATTACAATTTGAGTCCAATCCAATTCAAAATTTCCCAAAAACCTATTTGATCCTGTCCAAAATATAGAAATTAAAAGAACTACAAATTTTTTTCAAGCCAAATGATTTTTTTAAAATAATGTTATGAAAAAATACAAAATATTACAAATTGGTATACATCGGTCCACAATTCTTCAAGTTATCCCTTATATTAGTGAAGATTAAATAAGTTTTTTTTTTTAAAACAATTAAATTAATTTATTTGGGTTAGCTTAATTATTTTGCTTTCTATATTATAGAAATCAAGTAGTTTAAAATAATTTTTTGACTTCTAGAAAGTTATAGGTTTTGTTCGGTTTATTTGGATCCAAGCAATCCAGGCCCATTCTTTCTGATTTAGCCGGGAAATTCAAATTTTAAAAAATTATATTTTTACTTGCATTGAATTATTAATTTAAAATTTGTATTGGATTGGATTTTTATTCGAAAAGTGAACACTCTTAGATGGATGGATTTTTATTTAACACCCCCCATTATTTTCTGTTAGGGAATATAAACAGTTATGGTTTAAAGACATTATTAGTATTGTTAAGCAATATCACACTACCACTTGATTATCTGGTGAAGAAAAACTCAAATAATTTAGAAGATTAATTAGATTAATATATATGTTAAAGATCATTAACAAGCATGTGAAATTAAAGGAAGCGAAAGTATAGCCAGCCATATATAAGTTCATTGAGTCTTTAAGATATACTACATTTGTTTCATATACTTACAATAAAGTAATATTTTATATCTCACAAATAATAACCATTTATTACTGAGTAATATAAAATGGAGCTACTATATGCTTTTCACTTTTGCTGATTCCATACTTACCAAAGTGAAAATTAAGCTTCTAGCATGCCTTTCCAACTTCCATCCTTTTAGCACTTTTAATAATGTTCTTTGCTGCAATAACAATCATTGAATATTACTTCACGATGCTCACGTTTCTTTATTTTACTTGCCTTAGTCCATTTTATTATTCCATGTCATCATGTGACACACATTTACTTTAGGCTTGTCAAGAAAAAAAGAAATATTATTGGACTTTGATTGCATGATCAACAGTATTTAAATTATATACAAGTTTTTCGATCTTGTCCCTAACTTTTTTTATTTAATTAATGTGTTTGTGTGAGAGTACATAAAGTGATATGATCCCCCATATTTGTAGTAATTCCTCGGAATTTTAATATTGCATCCCTTGTTTTTTAAAAAAGTTTCACAAAAATTACACCATATTCATGTTAGGAAAGGAAATATATATGCTCACACTGTAAATACTTAAGATAGTTTCAAAGTTTAACACTTGATTTTTTAGTTTATGTATATTGACAATCACATGGCAATTTTGTATTTTAACCTTTCTCTCTCCTCCTTTTTCCCACTGTCAAAAACTTGTGCCCAAAACCTATGGTGCAATTATAAAATAATGGATCGGATGACGAAATTAAAAAGGCTATGTTTGGCCTACACTGCTCCAAATCTCCAGGCCTGGATGGGTTTACGGTGGATTTCTTCAAGGCATACTGGAAGGACGTAGGGCAGACAGTAATAGATAGTGTGAAACAGTTTATGAGAACAGGTAACATGCTTAAGGAATGGAATCAATCCCTCCTAGTTTTGATCCCAAAGGTGAAAGCACCAGAGCTAGCTAGCCACTTCAGGCCTATCAGTTTATGCAACACGGTCTACAAGTGTATTACAAAGTGTCTAGTCAACAGATTAAAACTGATCCTTCCAAAGTTAATCTCGGAGAACCAGCATGCTTTCATTCCAAGAAGGTACATGGAGGACAACATTCTCCTGAGTCATGAGCTTATGTATCTCATTAATGCTAGGAAACGCTCGAATTTCACGGCAATAAAGATAGATATGTCAAAGGCCTATGATAGGGTGGATTGGCTTCCTTCTGAAAGTCTTACATTCTTATGGTTTCTCTTCTCACTGGGTACGGATAATTTCACAGTGTGTGACGACGGTGAGTTTTAAAACAATCGTCAATAGGAAATCATCCGAGCACTTCGCACCGAAATGTGGACTGAGACAAGGGGATCCCCTATCCCCGTATCTTTTCATTTTTTGTATGGATATTCTATCTAGGATGCTGTCACTGGCTGAAGATATTCACCAATTTCAAGGGCTAAAGGTTTCAAGGAAGTCTCCGGCGATCTCCCATCTCTTTTTTGCAGATGATGCTATGTTATTCTTCAAGGCAAATAGGGAGTCTTGTCTGTGCATCTCTGACATTCTACAAAGGTTTGGCAAAGCCTCGGGGCAACAGTTAAATTTCTAGAAGTCCTTAATTAAATTTGCGCCGGGGGTAAGTGAGGACGAGAAACTGGCGGTTAAACAAATCTTATCCATGCCTGAAACAGGAAATATGGGGATTCACCTGGGTGCTCCGATTGATATTCAGGGAAAAAAGGGAACCAATTTCCAATTCTTAGTTGACAAGGTATCGGATAAAATAATGTCTTGGGTTCCGCTTCATATCTCACAAGCGGCAAAGCTTATTCTTATAAACACGGTTCTGGCAGCATGTCGGCCCACGTCATGAAATGCCTAAAACTCCCTCAGAGCATAGCAAACAAATTTGATTCGTTGATTTCAAGGTTTTGGTGGTCTAGTAATGGTAACAAGGGGGTGCATTGGGTTAGCAGCAGGGTAACGCATCTCCCTAAGAGTATGGGAGGTTTGGGAATTAGGGGCTCTTCGAATCTCAACGACGCCCTTCTCTTCAAACAAGCTACAAAGATGCACCTCAATCCTCAGCTTCTCCTATTTAGAGTGCACAACGGGTTTCAACCGTGTGGTATCCGCAACATAACTAGCGTCTATACTAGAAGAGGATCTCCGTCGATGGGAAGGACAAGTCTTCAGAAAGTTTCTCATGCTTTCAGGAGGGGCTTCTCTTGGAAGGTGGGAAATAGGGTCAATATCAAGGCAATTAGCATGCCTTGGGTGAAAGGGGAGACTCCCTTAGTAAAATCGGGCCAAACTCTAAGGGCTGCTTCTTCGTGGAAGGTGAGTGATATTATAGACAAGGAAACGAAAACTTGGAATGCAGGGAAGATAAGGGAGTGTTTCGATTAGGATTGGGCGAAAGCAATCCTGTCAATGGAACTTTCGTTGTCCGACGGGGATGATTTTCTCTACTGGAAGTATCATCCTTCGGGGAAGTACACGGTTAAAACGGGGTACTACTACCTATCTAAAGACCTAGGTTTAGACAGCGCCACTTTTTTGGCAAGGGACCAGGAATTCATTAAGCTGGTATGGATGTTGGAAATCCAGCCAAAATGGAAGCTGTTTTTGTGGAAGCTGTTTCATGATGGCATTGCCGTTAAGGGAAACCTGGCTAGGAGGGGCATACACGCCAAAATAGAGTGTGATCTCTGCAGAGAGGAAGTAGAAGATAGCCAGCATCTTTTCAGGTTTTGTATTCAGGCAAAGGAAATCTGGGAGACAAGTTCCTTAGATGTAAGTCCTGATTCTCCTGGGTCCATTTCTCTAAAGGGATGGATTCAGCACTATATCCTGCTTTTTTATAGCAAGGATGGTAAGCAGGGAACCCGATGTGTGGGGTTTATTGCGACTCTATGGGGTATGTGGAAGGCTAGGAATGCAAGATGTTTCAGGGGTTCGACAGGGACTACTAGCCTAGTAAGGGAATTTATAAATCTTGCGATACAAGATCATGAATCTTTTACTAATCGTGCTAGCCTGATAACTGAGGCAGATACTACTAGTAGGGAAGAACCTATCCTTCCTCCGGGTTTTAACTATGTCCACTTAGGGAAGGAAAAGGCGGGGTTTGATGATTTCATCATAGAAGCTGACGGTTCCTGGGATAAGAGGACCACGAGAACAAGGATTGGTTGGGCGGTTAAGAGCAATATCCTTGGCTATGGTCTCGATGAGGGAGGAAAACACGAAGTTGCAGCGTCAGTAATACAATGTGAAGCATGGGCTTGCTTGGAAGCGATGAAGTGGGCTCAGTCTAAAGGTAGGCATGGAATTCTTTTAGTTACTGACTCCTTATCCCTGTTAAACAACCTACAGGATGACGAAGGCAGGTAGGTCTCAATAACTTGGTTTTTAAAGGGGTTAAGGGAAATTGGTGCCTCGTTCCAAAGGTGCACGATTTTAAAAGTCCAGAGAAATCAGGTTCAAAGGGCAAACGACATTGCTAGACAATGTCGGGTTAACCTTATGAACTTGATTTAATTTGCTAGTTCTCATTCGCTCTTGTCAAAAAAAAAAAAAAAAATATAACAATCTTTGAATGACAACTAAAAAAAGAAAAAAAAAAATAGAGCAAACAAATCGGGTCATAGGGAGTATGAAGCTATCTCTTCTTTATATTTTTCCATCAAAAAGAAATGCAAAAGACAAAACATAAATCAAATTTAACATACTAAAATTAGTGATGTAAGATAACCTGTTAAGCAAACTACTAATATGCTACAAAGTACGTAAATCTTAGCCATGCATTGTAGGGAGCCAAAAATAAAGTTCACATCTTTTATTTGATGCATTGAGGTTGATACCATTTAAGTTACACCGATTGAAGTACTAATGTTGAATCTTCGAAGTTAGGAGAAAGCTCGATTGTTGTCCATTTCCGAAGTCGAGTAATAAGGAAAAGTGAACCATTTTGAGCTGTGAGGCCACATACCAAGCCTACCCAAAGACCCTGAATCACCAATAATTCGTGTACAAACAAAGGAAAACGAATTAGTACCAGTCGTGAAGCCAACTAGCAATTTTTCAAGTGGATAGCAAAAAATGAAAACTAATTTTTAATTAAATAAAAAATATTTTTGCTACTCTTGTTTCAAAAAATAAATAAAAAAAAAAAATTACTACTCAAAATCATATAAAAATTGTTCATTTATATATTTTTTTTCCAACCTTTCAAAATTTACACATAAATTATAGATATTTTAAATTTTACCACCTAAAAATACCCACTTTCTGAAATTACCATCCATAATTTTTTTTTTATTACGAGTATAAAATACCACCTAAAAAGGAAAAAAAAAATTAATGGAGTACCATTTAACACTTTCCGTTAAAATAAGTAAATCTAATGTTTTAAATTAATTTCTTCGCTTCTCGTGTCAATAACATGTTCTTTAGAAGTTTTAATTTGGGGGTTGTTTTTGTCATACGAGTCTAATTTGAAGTCAAAATTAACAATTAGTGATCAAAGTGTGGTTCCTGGAGGCGTATGCACCGTGCTTGGTGCATACGTATGTTTCATTAAAAAAAAGGCGGAATGAACATACTATAGAAATGTAATGAACATATAGTTACACTGAAAAGAACATACTATTAAAATGTAATGAACATATACGTAGAGTGAAAAGAACATACTATTAAAATGTAATGAACATATACCTAGAATGAAAAGAACATACTGTTAAATAATGTTCTTTATCTCCGTGTTCTTTGATTGTCAGTATAATGTACTTTTATTTGTGACATAATGCTCATTGTTTATTTTGAAATGTTATATGAATTTTGTCTTTAGATCATGGTGGTTGAATAAAAATAATGTTCATTACATTATATTATCATGTTCTTTATTAATATTACGCATACGGATGTTCTTTAGATATATATAAAAAGAACATAAAGCTGGATGTTCTTTATAAAACAGCTATATGTTCTTTACAAAACAACTATATATTCATTACAAAACAACTATATGTTCATTTCGCCTTTTTAACGAAAAAAATTGAAAATTTGTATGCACTAAGCATGGTGCATACGCCTGCAGGAAGAAAATTTCATTATTGATTGGAAATGTCTCATTTGGCATACTAAAAAATACATCAGTTTACGTGACACATGAAAATTGAGGCACATTAGATAATTTTTGTCAATTTTAACCTTAAATCGGATCCTTTAGATCCAAAATGACCCCCAAAACCTTTATAGAGCCAATTTCAACACGATTATTTTTTAAAATAATATTTCACTTGACGGTTTTTTTTTTTTAAGGAAAGTGTTAACTAGTGGTGAAATCTAGTTCTGTTTGTCTTTTAATGATTGTATTTTAAAATAAAAATTATATTGGGTGATAATTTCAAAAAATGGGTTATTTGTGGGTGGTAAAATCTAAAAATCCTAAATATAAACGTAAAATACATTACATGTCATACTTCAAATTTATTATCAATCACAAATCAAAATGTTCATATTTATATTATACATTATTAAATACATATACTATACATTTATCGTAATATGTGGTTTGCATGCATAAATCTAATGACTTATATCATTAATAACGAGTTATCCATTCACTAAATAAATTAATGTATACATAGATATGTCCTTGTTCAAGCCCTTTATTAACTGAATAGAGAGTACATATAAATCAGTGACAAAGAGAATAAGAGAGAATACATTACGTACCTTGACATACAAATCAAACTTGAAGGCAAGTAAGCATGCGATGGGCATGCCAATGAAGTAGAATGTACCCAAATTTATGTACACCACCAAATGTTGCCAACCACATCCCCTACACACCGCTATCCATCGGCGAAAACACAATGCAAATTTATAATTGATGAAGGTATGTAAATTTTTTTGTAAGCAAATTATATGTGAGTTTTGAGGAGAAATATAGATGATTTAGTACATACCTGATAGTATGCCTTGAATTGAGTCAAGAAATATCGTAATGCAAACAAAAGGTGTCATGGAAGCAAATAAATGCATTAAACCAGTGTTGTCACTGAAGAAACCCGCCCACGCATCGTGTCCTAAACCAAGAGCTAGAAGAATTATAGCAGTCAGCAGGACTGATAGCTTCAATGTTACACCCATTGCGTGTTTCGCTTCACTCGGCCTCCCTGCTCCTAGCTCATTCGATACCCTCGTGCTACCACAAAGAATCAAAGACTATGTCGTTAACACGTAGTTACAATTACTATGAACATTAAGGTACTGTTGTATAATATAAACGAAGTACTTTGTAACGTTAATTAAGGGAGTACCTTGCTGCTGCACTTAAGCCGTAAGTAAAATTGAACGCAATTGCTTCTGTATTAACACTGGTAATCATACAAAACATTTCTTTTGATTAATTATTATTGTAAACATAAAATCAAGAAAAAGGGTGTACTAAATTTGATGATTTTTACCACATTGCGATTAGAGAAGTTGTTACTTCCGAGTTTGGAAATAGGCCAGCCAACAACACCAAGATCTCGAATGCCCAATACTCTAAACTGATGAGAAATCGCGTGTATAAAAGATCAATTGTAGTTAGACATGAAAAAAATGGTTAAGAACAATAACAAATAGCTGTCAAATTAGATTAAGCAATAATGGTACGTATGTGCGACGTACCAAACCATAGCAGCAGAGGGTAACGCTAACTTCAAGTTACCAACAACATAATAAATCGAATCCTTAGAAAAGCCGGTCCATGTATGCTCGCAGTCTTTACTATAGTTGACATAAAGAAGCAACATAATAACGGAAATCCAAAATGTGATGGAAGTAGCCAATGCAGCGCCACCAAGGCCGAGGGTGGTGCAATAGACTAACACGTAGTTTAGAACAAAATGCAATAGCAAAGGTATAAGAGAACATACAACAGTAGGCCAAACTATAGATTGTGTTTGAAGGTATCTCAAGATGTTTTGAATTATGCCAAATGCGAAAATTCCTGGTATTTGAAATCTAAGGAAAATAGCTGCTTGTTTTGTGATTTCAGGGTTTTGTTGTAAGGAATTTAGAATTGGTTCAGTAAACCACCATATTATTGATATGATTATGGCGAAAATGAATGTGATTATGCATGACGCTTGGAGATAAATTCCCATCATTTTGTATAGTTTTGCACCATAACCTTGTCCACAAAGTGTCTCAAGTGCACCACTTAAGCCAAGCTACAACAATTCATAAAATGGTCACAATTAGTAATTAATTAACATTTTAACCAAAAAAAAAATTAAGCAAATATATATATTGATCAAGGATTTTCTACAAATAATTAAATAAACATTCATTTATCGAGGGTTACTAGAACAGTCGTCATACTCTCAGTTTAGGAAAAACAAGTTTAGACTAGTTTTCATAAAGTAGATGCATATAATTAAGTCTCAATTGAAATACCTCGTATAGATTTTTATAAGCATTTTATAGGTAAACTAGTAAAACAAATAATTATACAAAGTATAAATAAGTGGGGGTAGGTATAATTCTAAAGGCATAAAATAGACAAGCTAGAACGAAACAAACAAATTTAAGATAAAGAAAAATCATAGGATGTTCCCGCCTACATAATTACAAACACATGCACATATAATATAAATTAAATTTTATACAATGTGATAATAATAGCATGATAATAATTTAGATGTTCTTAATTCCTAGTTGGTTTTTTTAGGAAGAAAAACATTCTTCCTGAATATCCAAACTCAATTGCTTCAGCTGAAAGATAATCTTAATAAAATTCTAACTAATTAGAACTTTTTTACTAGTATGTAAACGATGTTAAGAAAAAAAAATTTAAAAAAATAAAAATAAAGGGATTGCTCCAAAGAGTTAAAATTAATGTTGTCCTAAAGGTCCTAAATTGAAAATGTACCTGATCAATTTGTCAAATTTTCGAATAAAAAACACCAAAGTCGATCAATTAACATCATTAAATTTTATATATATCCCCTAATTTTTCCAATGCACATTTTTTTGCTACTACTTATGATTTTGAGAATTAAACCTTTAAGGATCTGTCTGATAATAAGATACAAGTATGCAATAATGTTACATACTAAGTATATGTCAAGTTTAGCTTTTTTATAATTAATACTTCGTAACAACTAGAATGAAAAAAAAGGGAAGAGTACAATACGAACCATGAAAGCGAAACCTGTAACATAAGCCCAAGAATTAGCAAGAGTAGCACCAGCAAGTTGAAGCTGACCAAGATGACCCGCGAACATAACCGAAACCAATGGAATGAGATAGTAACACACATTTGTTAGCACCAATGGCATGGAATACAATATTTGCTCCTTCCCTTCTTTGTAGTCCATCATCTTCTCCCACCATTTCCTCTTGCCGCCTCTTTCCATCTCCAGCAATGGCGCCGCGCTATTATTGCCATTGCTGCTGCTCTTCCTCATGTAAACAAATAGTTTCTAGCTCACCTTAACTCTGTTTTTACGGTTATATGATTACTGTTTAAGTTTTGGCTTTGTGAAGTAGTGAAAGATGCTTATTTTTCTTATGTACATTAGTATGGTTAATAATTGCCTAAAGTTCTTTTCTTTTTTTTTCTTTTTTTTTTTTGAATAGATGACTAAAGTATTTATGATAAAGTGTTCCACTTGTAAGTCATACAGTGACTATTGCATTATTGCACACAAGTGTTTGTTACAAGTACATATAATAAAATTAATTAGTAGCAGCTGAAGTAGCTAGCCTATTACTAGGGTTAGTTATAAGTCATCATCTCCGATCCGGTTTTATTATTCAAAGTGGATTATTTATAGATCCAGATTGTGTTTGGTGTCTAGAAAAATAGATTCAAACTTAAAGTGACCTATTTAATCTCTTAGTTTTTATTTTATAGCAATAAAATCGATCACAATTAATAGAACAAATAATAAAAAAATCTCAAAAAATTTATTGCCCTTGTTCTCAAGATGAGCGTGATTAGAATCCTTGACAACGCACATTGTCAATATATTGGACTATTGGAGAGGTTCCGTTTAGGCCAAAAAAAAAAAAAAAAAAACCCACTCTTCATTATTTTTATTGTTGTTAGTATTATTCAGTTGAATTTTTAAAAATATTTTTACTTAGAGAGTTAGAGATAATATTTGCCCAAATTTGGAATATGGTTAAATGGGACAAAGAATTAGTATCCAAGAACTAAATCCGTATCTACTCTTCTTTTACTTTATGATTTTTTATACTATATGCCGTTTCACACAACGTGGTCGTTATATAGTGGAGAATATTTTGCTGACCATTTTAGCTCATGGTGAATGGATTATACTAACACTTTTTACAAGAACATAATTTAAAGATGTGTCATAGGAATAATCGAAGTCATTAGTTATTCATTGTCAGAACGTTAAAAAATGATTTTGAAGCTTGCAAACTTTTAGTTTTGTACTACAAAATAGAATCGAAATAACAAAATCATATACTCCCTTCATCCCATAATATAGTTATTGTTAGGGATGAGCAAACCGGATACCCGATCAAAATTTTAGGATCCGGACCCGGAATTGGTTGGACCGGGTCCTAAAATTTGGAACTAGAATTGAAACCGGTACAACCGGGTCCTAAAATTTAGGAATTGGAATTGGTTCCACCGGGTACCGGTTTCGATTCCGGGTACCCACTTATATATATAAGTGTTGAAATATAATACAAATCATAATATTTTTTTTTGGTTTATTTTTACTTTTAGCGTTTAATACTAATATTTTTATATACATTAAGCTATTTTAATTATATTAAATATTAATTTTTTTATTTATTTTACTAATTAGTTACGTTCAGCATATTTTTATTTTTTTTAATATATTTTGTACAATATATGTTGGGTAACCGGTATAATACAGCGGAGAGAAAAATCTAGAAGTTTTAGGATTTTGTTTGATAGTGGGTTGAGAGTTTTATAAGCAATTGGACTTAGAAATTAAAATGGGCTGTAGATAACTCTTTAGTTTCTTAAAAACACAAACAATCCACATACTATATCATATACAACCGGGTACCCAGTGGGTACCGGGTCCAAAATTTTAGGATTTGGAACCGGAATCGGTTACAACCGGGTCCGAAATTTTGGACTTGGTCCCGGAACCGGTGAGACCAGTTCTGGGTCCGGACCCAGCGGGTCCTAACCGGTTCCGGATCCGATACCGGGTACCCTGGGTCTTTGCTCACCCCTAGTTATTGTTTGTGTTTTTTCACAATAGATAAGAAATAGGAGGAAAAGTGGATGAAATACATCAATAAAAGTGGAAAGTATAATTATAGACAAAAGTTAGAGAGAGAAAGTGGAAAAAAGTACAAGGTATGTGCAAAATTCAAGGGTAATTTAGGAAGTACAATGAATAAAGTGAACAGATTTTTCACCATATACCACTAAGTTAAAGCTTAATTCACCATATACCACCGAAAACTTTCTAATACACCATATACCACTGAATTTAACATAAATGTCACAACATGCCATTTCCATTAACTTAGTTAGTCATTAACGTTAATTGTGTCACATGGCAACTTGTAATTGATTCTTATTAATATTAATTATTGAATTAATTAACTTTGGAAATATTATTAACAAAATTAAAAAACAAAAATCACCACCAACTCAGCCACTGCCACCACCAGCCCAGCCCCGACCTCTACCCCCGGCTGGGCGCCAGGTCCACTTCCCGGCCAGCCGGTGACCATCCCCCCTCACCCGTCGGCGTAAATCTCGACCTCGACCACCTCTCCCTCTCGAATTCCCAGCCACCACCTTAGGCGAATTCCCCTCCCCCTCCCGACTTTCCCAGCCTCCACCTTATCGCAATTCCCCAGCCACCACCTTAGCACCGGCCACCACCTTCGCCGGCAGCCCAAACCCTTTCTCACACGTCACCGCCGCCCAATTTTCCCAAAAACCACCACCCCGAAACCCTAAAACATCAAAATCAAAACCCTAGATTTTGGTTTTAGGTTTTCAGCGTACGTGGTGGTTCAGTGAGGTGGAAATGGTACCGGGAGAGGCGAATTCAGTTAGCCGACGCGGAGGAGAGGGGTTTGGGTGTCGGCCGGTGGTTAAGGGAGTGTTTTTCGAGAGAGATAGAGGGTTTTGGTCGGGAGACACGGTGGTTCAAGGGAAGGGGAGCAGCACAGGCGAGGGAATCTAGTTGGATTTTGGGCCGGCGCGGGGGGGGTGGGGTTGGTCAAAGTTCGGGCCGGCGCGAGGTTTCGGAAGGATTCCGCCGGCGGGTGGTGGCAGGTTGGGAGGACGTGGGTGGCTGGGTTTTGGTTTTTATTTTTTTTTTAATTTTTTGATAATTAATTAAATAATTATTCTAAAATTAAATAAATTAAAAGGGGAACCAATTATATTTTTCCACGTGGCATTATTAGCCTTAATGACTAACGGTGTTAACGTCCGTTAGTCATTAATGGCATGTCGTGACATTTATGTTAAACTCAGTGGTATATGGTGTATTAGAAAGTTTTTGGTGGTATATGGTGAATTAAGGTTTAACTCAGTGGTATATGGTGAAAAATCCGCAAAGTTAAATACGTATAATAATATAGTATAGAGCCGACCCCATTTATATTCTATACAAATTAAAGTTGTGTTTTACCCTCACATATCTGAAAGGGGGTGAGCAAATTTTGTTAAAATATTACAGCTTCCCTTTGGTGATGACGTGGACTTACATGTCATCATCACTTCGTCAAATAACGTCTGTAAATGATCTAAAAAGAAGCTAGACCCACCTTCTCCCTTTCACAAGGAAGAAAAGGA